ATCTCTGCTTACATTACCCATCTGTTTTTGCATATTGTCTGCTGTTTCCATTAGAGCCCTTAGCATGTTAATCTTAGTTGTTTTAAATTAGAGTTGTTAGCTATGATAATTCTAACATCTCTGCTATTTCTGAGTTTGGTTTTGATGCTTGCTATATCTCTTCAAAGTCTGCTTTTTTTTTTTTTTTTTTTTTGAGATGGAGTCTCACTCTATCGCCCAGGCTGGAGTGCACTGACACGATCTCAGCTCACTACAATCTCTGCCTCCCTGGCTCAAGCGATTCTCCAGCCTCAGCCTCCCGAGTAGCTGGGACTACAGGCGCATGCCACTTTGCCCTGCTAATTTTTTGTATTTTTAGTAGAGACGAGGTTTCACTGTGTTAGCCAGGATGGTCTCCATCTCCTAACCTCGTGATCTGCCCTCCTTGGCCTCCCAAAGTTCTGGGATTATAGGCATGAGCCCCCTTACCCTGCCCAAAGTCTGCTTTTTGTGCCTTGTAATTTTTTTGTTGAAAACCAGACTTGATGTACTTGTTAAAAGGAATTGAGGAGGCCAGGCATGGTGGCTCACAGCTGTAATCCCAGCACTTTGGGAGGCCAAGTGGGGAGGATCACTTGAGCCCAGGAATTCAAGACCAGCCTGGGCAACATAGAGACCCCATCTCTACTAAAAATATAAAAACTAGCCGGGCATGGTGGCACCCACCTGTAATTCCAGCTACTCTGGAGGCTGAGGCACGATAATTGCTTGAACCTGGGAGGCAGAGGTTGCAGTGAGTCGAGATCTCACCGCTGCACTCCAGCCTGGGAGACAGAGTGAGACTCTGTTTAAAAAAAAAAAAAAAAAGTAACTGAGGAAAATAGCCCTTGAGTGTGAGTATTTTAGTTTATCTGGCTAAGAGTTAGGCTCTGTCTACTGTTGGCTGTAAGTATAGGTATCAGAACTAAAATTTCCTCCTATGTCTGTTTTTTACTTCCTTGGGTTTCCCTAGAGACTTGTTAAATAAAGTCTGAGATACGCAGGTTTTTCTGTTCTTTTCCCCTGTTATTATATAGGAGCCCTAAGTATGTGGTAGGAAGGAGGGAACTAAGTCCTGTGACTAGGTCTCAATCTTTCTGTGAGCCTGTGCCCCTGGCATGTGACTTTCACCAGCACTTCTCACTTGGGATTTTTGTCCGCTTTGGTGAAACAGGAAGGAAGAGGGGGCTGGAGTTAGGCCTTTTCTTTCCTGCCTGTAGAAGGCTTGAGGGTGCTTAAGTTGGGTCAGCCTTTCCCTTAGTCTGATTAGGGTCTTGTAAAACCCGATTAGGTTGGGCTCCTGTAAAATAGTCTCCCCTGTAAGAACAGAAAGCTCTGAACATATTCCACATGGCTGCTTTCCTCCTACCCCTGCCAGAAGCATGAGGGGATTTTTTATTTTTATTTTTTAATTTTGAGATGGAGTCTTACTCTCTTGCCCAGGCTGGAGTTCAGTGGCACAATCTTGGCTCACTGCAACCTCTGCTGCCCGGGTTTAAGCAATTCTTCTGCCTCAGCCTCCTGAGTAGCTGGGATTATAGGTGCATGCCACCACACCTGGCTAATTTTTAGTAGAGACCTGGTTTTACCATCTTGGCCAATAGAGACGGGGTTCAAGATCTTGATCCACCCACCTCAGCCTCTGAAAGTGCTGGTATTACAGGCGTGAGCCACCATGCCCAGCCCACATGAGGGGATTTTTTCTCTGGTCTTAAGTGTGAGAACCTGGTAGGGCTCATGGAGGTCAAGTCCACATTGAGTCTCCAGCAGTTCATGAATTGCTGTGTAAGTTTTCCCACCCTCGTTTCTGTTCCTGGGCTTCTGCTCATGTAGGCTCCACTTCACTGTGTTGACCTGTCTCAGTGTAAGGGGCAGTCATTTGCCCTGTAACTTCAATTCTCTGATGCATCTAAAAGGCGTTGTTTTCCAGTTCAGATTTTTTCTTGTAAGGACGGTAGTGACAACTTGTAAGCTCCTTACATTTGTGACCAAGGAAGAAAAGTCCTTTGCCTTCATTTTTAAATATATTTGGTGGATAAAGATAATTTTCCAGTTAAAAAAACAAGAAAATAAAAATAATTCCAGTTGACAGGATTTTGTGGGTTTTGTTTTTTTTTTCCCAATACCTTAAGAATGTTACTTCTCGGGGCCGGGCGCAGTGGCTCACGCCTGTAATCCCAGCACTTTGGGAGGCCAAGGCGGGTGGATCACGAGGTCAAGAGATCGAGGCCATCCTGGTCAACATGGTGAAACCCCGTCTCTACTAAAACTACAAAAAATTAGCTGGGCATGGTGGCGCGTGCCTGTAATCCCAGCTACTCAGGAGGCTGAGGCAGGAGAATTGCCTGAACCCAGGAGGCAGAGGTTGCGGTGAGCCGAGATCGCGCCATTGCACTCCAGCCTGGGTAACAAGAGCAAAACTCTGTCAAAAAAAAAAAAAAAAGAGTGTTACTTCTGGCGAGGCATGGTGGCTCACGCCTATAATCCCAGCATTTTGGGAGGCCTAGGAGGGCGGATCACAAAGTCAGGAGATCGAGACCATCCTGGCCAACATGGTGAAACCCGTCTCAAAAAATACAAAAATAGCCAGGCATTGTGGCCCACGCCTGTAGTCCCAGTTACTCAGGAGGCTGAGGCAGGAGAATTGCTTGAACCTGGGAGGCAGAGGTTGCGGTGAGCCAAGATTGCACCATTGCACTCCAGCCTGGGTGACAAGAGTGAGACTCCCGCTCAAAAAAAAAAAAAAGTTACTTCTTTGTCTTCTGGCTTGCAGCAGAAGTATCATGTCATTTTTAACTGTATTTATCAGTATATAATATACTTTTCAGGTTAACTGCTTTTAAGACTTTAAATTTAACACTGGTTTTCTACAACTTGATTATGATGTGTCTTGGTACAGCTTTCTTGAGGTTTCTTGACCTTCTTGAATGTGTGAGTTTATAGTTTTGATCATATTTGGTAAATTTTGCCTATTTCTTCAAATACGGTTTCTGTCGCCTCTTTTTTTTTCTAGGACTTTCAATTATGTGCACATTAGACAGGTTGATCGTGTGCAACAGTTTTTTTCTCTTTGCCTTATTTGAGTAGTTTCAATTGCTATGTCTTTAAATTCATGAGTCTTTTCTCTTTCAGTGTTTATTTGATGTTAATTCCATCAGGTGCATTTTTTTCATTTCAGTTATTGTGTTTACTGTCTCTGGAACTTCCATTTGGATCTTTCTTTATCTTCCATTTTGTCATCATGCTCATGTTTCCCTTTACCTTCTTAAATACATGATGCTTATTTTTATTAACTATTGTCTGCTAGTTCCTTGAACAGCAGAAATCTGTCATTTCTAGGTCAGTTTCTATTGACTGTTTATGGTGATAGGTCGTATCTTCCTCTCTTTCTTGCATTTCTGTTGCAGCAGTTTATTATTGCCTCTCAACTCTAAATCAGCCCTTCATTGGCCCTTGTGATACTGGAACATTTCTCCTTTGCCCCATGCTGGTCTTTGTCAGTGAAAAGTGTTGAGGAGAAAGGGCATTTCTTTGTTCTGTGCATTTTGCTTACACCTGTCTGTGACTTGAACTGGCATGTGGGACACACAGGGTGCTCAGGCAGCTTTCAGGCAGGTCCCATAGCACCCCAGCTAGCCTCCTGGGAGCTTTCTGGTGAGTTCAACAGCACCCCACCCCTACCCCCCTGCTTTCCAGCACTTCTCAAACAGCCTTCTAGCTCACTGTGTTAGCACCCTTGCAAGTGGTTCTTGGGCTCTGGCCTTGTCCTGGGACAGCCCGGTGAACTTCATCTATTGGGTAGTTGTGACCATACCCTCTCCTCGGTCTGAATCCTTCCCTTAGTTACCTCCCTTTACCCTAGGGTGTTCTGTAGATTTCTTTTTATTCCCTCTTAGTTAACTCCCTGTAAATAGTTAATAATTCTTACACTAAACTTCCCTTGTTTAAGGAACCATGTGGTTTCTGTCTCCTGGCTGGACCCTGACTGATAGACCTGGTGATTTTTTAAATTAGATGCTGAATATTGTGAATTTTAAATTGTTGGCTGGGCTGGGTATGGTGACTCACACCTGTAATCCCAGCCATTTGGGAGGCTGAGGCAGGTGGATCACTTGAGCTCAGGAGTTCAAGACAGCCTGGACAAGTAGTGAGATCCCATCTCTACAAAAAATAAATTGTTGACTGCTGAATTTTGTTGAATTCCTTTGAATAGTATTGGGTTTGGGTGTAGAATGCAGTTAAGTCTTTTGAAAGCAGCAATCCTTTAGAGGCTTCTAAGTTTAGTTCAGTGGGTCCAGTGCTGCTTTAGTCTGCAGTTGATTTAGTTCAATTACTAAGGGTGATGCCCTTCTGCGGATTCTATACAGTACCCTGTGAATTAAGAGATCTCTCCAGAATGGCTTGTGGGAACACAAATACGCCCTGCGTGAACTCTGGGGATTGTTTTGTTTGCTCCTTAGGATTCTTTCCTGGGCCTCCTTGTACAGCTTTTCTCACTCAGGCACAGATCTGTTTTCAGCTAAAGACTCCAGGGGACCCTCTGCAGATCCTGGCTCTGCCTCTTTGTGCGGCTGCCTCCTCCCAGGACTCTGCCCTGCAAATAGCAGCCGCCTTGGCCTCTGTGACCTGTAAACTCCATCTTCCCAACTCAGAGAGACTGCAGGATACGACTGAGTTTCCCCTCCCTGTGCTGCAGCCTGGAACCTGTCTCCTGGCTGTAACTGGTGCAGTCATAGGACCCGCTCTCTGGTTTTCCTTCTCTCGGGGGTCACTGTCCTGCACTGTTTTCCACTGACTGAAGATAAAAGTATTTTGTCCAGTTTTCCAGGTGTTCACGGGTCCCTGTTGCTCCATCCTACATGGGTATATAAACGGAGAACCAACAAAACAGCCTGTCAGGAGCTTGCTGAAGTTTCAGCGTAGGTGGTGCCTGCTGGCTAAGCTGATGGGCATGATTAACACTCTCCTTTACCTTCTTACAGTAACCACCGTGTGAATGGGAATGGCAAGACAGCAAAGGCTCGCTCAGTGAGCGACGCAACACCAGCGTGGGTTGCGGCCTCCCCATCAAGTTGCATGTCACTAGCTTTCTGTGGCTGTCACTGCTGGGCCCAGGTGCCTCTGAAGATCAGCACCTCCTCATGGGCTCAAGCAAGGACAGGAGCCATTCACCCATGAGCTCGAAAGAACAGAGCCGCTGTCCTGCCTCGATGGCTCCACCGTATCTCCAGTGGACTTTGGACAATGGGGAGCTGGCCCAGTAAGTCCACCCGTGTGTGGTCACTTGGCTTTTTTTTCACCCAGCCCCCAGGTACTGTTGCTGCTCCTGTCTGAGGCCCCATCCACAGCCACAGCTGTGGCGGGGTGGCTGGTGGTGGCCAGTGTGGCCCTGCTGCAGCTCCATGCTGGGGAGGGGTGTGGCCCAAAAAGCAACTACCCCTTCATGTGGGCCAGTGGGGAGGATCCTAGGAAGCAGCCCTGGCAAGGTGAGTGGACGTGTTGATGTGGTGAGAGGTGAGAAGCAGTACTGCTCCCAGAGCCCTGTGATTCCTGGGGGGAGGAGGCTCGCAGATGCCTTGCCTGCTCTCCTCCTGGGTGCTTTCCTGTTCCCAGGGCTGGGACCTTGGAGGGAGTCTGTGTCTGCCCATGTTCGAGGGCCCAGCATAGGCAGGCCCTCTGGGGAGCCCTTCGTGGCTTGTGGGGAGTCTGGGGCAGGGCAAGGGACAGCATCTTCCACCCACCACAGGCCTTGGGAGGCGTCTGTCCTGAAGGCCACCCCTGTGGGAAGGCCTCTTTCGTGTGACTCCTTCCCCATGAAACGGCTTCTCCATACTGTTCAGCCCCACAGGTGCCCTGAGAAAACACAATGTGCTTTCTCACACATCACAGCCCCCAGAGAAGAGTTTGGTTACAGAGAATCTGACAGTTCATGGCCTCCTGAGGGTGGGTCAGTGGGAAAAGTCCCCAGGGGAGCTTGGGGCCCAAGGCCTCCCACGGCCCGGGTGTGGCTGCCCACTGGGAGGCCCACATTGCCTCAGTGTCCTGCGTTCGGGGTGCCTGAGGGCTGGAAGGGGAGCAAGGGCCGGGGACCAGCGGCTCACAGGGACCTGGGGAGATGGGGAGAACTGTGGAGGCAGCCTTCCCAGCCGTCCCACCCAGGGAAGGAGTGGCCAGGGTTGGAAGAAATACAGCACTACCTTGGCCTTGGTCTTGGCCTCAGACCCGAGGGTCTGGCTATAGCTGTGGTGGCAGCTATGTCGTAGGGGCGGCATCATGGCCCTGGCATTGGCCCCAGGACTGTGGGCCAGCACAGACCATCACGAAGTTTCTGCTGGGCTCGGTGTGGGAGCCCCTCCTAGCCATGGAGACAGGCCACGTCAGCCCCCCAGGATCTGTTGCCCGACAGCTCTCAGTCTTTTGCCTGGGGCCTCTGTGTCACGTGGAATCATTCTGAGTTCTCTGCTTTCTGGCGGCGACATCTTCTACGCACTGCTTACTCCGCAGACCGTCCTGCCTTCCTGTTAGAAGCCATCCGTGGGCACTCCAGTGTCACCTGTGGTAACTCCTGCATTTTGCCAGGCTATGGGATGTGGAGACTGAAGAGTCCAACTTGGCCAGAAACCTGACCCTCACTCATTCCTCAGAGAGGCCTCACATTGAGCAGGGACAGCCAGCAGCTGGAGAGAGTGGAGCCCTGACACTGGCTCCAGAACAGAGGTGCTCTCTGACACCCCTTTCATCCAGCATGTTCTCCGTGAGCACCTGCCGTGGCCCGGGCCTCATTCTGTGCTGCCGGCTGAGCCCAGCTCTCGTGGGCTTGCGTGAGGCTGACTGCCGTGTGAGCTGCATGTGATCTTCAGTGAGGAGTAGACACGCAGGGCGGAGGTGGGGGGGTAGGACGGCATGTGCTCGCAGACACTGGATGATACGAAAGAGGCTCTAGCGAAGGAAAGGACAAGCTGCGGAGGAAGCAGAGCGCTGAAGGGAGGGACAGTGCGAGGGCCTGAAACTGTCAACCTGAAACAAGCAGTAGAGTCTGCAAATGAGCCCCAGGGCCAGCCCTGGGGAGGAAGCAGCAGTGACGTGAGGTTCTTGTCAGAAGCCTCTAGGGGCAGGGTAGGGCCTGTACTGAGGACAGACACGCCCATGGTCTTTGAGGAGCTGTAGGGTGAGCTTCTGGTGGAAGCAGTTTCCATGTCCTGGCACGTGCTGTCTCGTTAGGACATCAGACATGACCCTGGAGTTCACATGAGGATGCAGAGGTCTTCCGTTCCAGAGGACACTTGGCTGGGCAGAGGGACACGGCCTTGCGTCCCTGGTGCGCTCTTGTTGTCTGGCACACCGCTGAATGGGACATCTGTGGCTGGAAGATGTCCTTGTGGCCTGTGCTAGTTAGACCAGCCTGGCTGGTTATCAGTCTACATCCTCACCCACTCCCCTTTTCAGTGAGTTATTCCCGGTCCCACAGGCTCTGCCTCTGGTGTGGAAGAGGCATACCCGCCAAGGACCAGAGGAGCTGGCCACCGTTCAGAAGGCCCCAGCTCGAAGGCCAGTAGACCCGCCCGGAAGCTCCACGCAGGCAAGCTTGCAGAGGTCAGTCCCACTTCCTGTTCCTGCGCGGGCGCTTCTCCCTAGGGCAGGACGCTGAGAAGCTGGCCAGGGGTGGCTGCTGAGTGGCAGAGAAGCCAGAGAGCTGCAGGAAATAGCCTGGGGCTGGGAGACCAAGATGGGGGCTCTGGGCTGCTGAGGCGCTGGACCTGAGGGGCCAAGACCCTTGAGCAAGAGGAGCCAGAGAAGAGAGACATTCAGTACTGGTCTCTCTCTCTCGCCATTTGCTGATGAAGCTGCTTAAGGCAGAGGAGCAGAAAGTGGCTGAAAAGCAGAGTGGGATTTTTGGCAGTTTTATGGAGTTAGGGAATAGTGTGGGGCCTATCAGGTGGAAGGGCCCTAAGAAATATCCCAGGCTCAGGCCGGGTGTGGTGGCTCACACCTGTAATCCCCACACTTTGGGAGGCCAAGAGGGGCTGATCACAAGGTTGGGAGATCGAGACCATCCTGGCTAACATGGTGGAACCTCCACTAAAATACAAAAAAATTAGCCAGGCGTGGTGGCACGTGCCTGTAATCCAAGCTACTCGGGAGACTGCACCGGGAGACTTGCTTGAACCCAGGAGGGTGAGGTTGCAGTGAGCCAAGATTGTGCCACTGCACTCCAGCCTGGGCAGCAGAGTGACTCCATCTCAAAAAAAAAAAAAAAAAAAAAAGAACGAAAAGAAATATCCCAGGCTCTCATCTGGGACCAACCCTGTCTCACCTGGGACAAGCCACAGGTGGGCTGGTCTTTACAAGGACTGCAGAGGAGCTCAGGGTCAGTGGAGTCCCTGATCCGCCTGTGGCTGCTTGTCCACTGATGTCCACCATGGAGCAGGTGAGCTGTCCCTGTCAGGGGACACGTCCAGACCCCCCGCGACGCTCAGTTGAAGGCAACCAGGTACGCTGGGAAAGGGGATGACTTGAGAGCAGGGGTTTGAGTGTGAGGCAGGAGAATCGCTTGAGCCCACAAGGCAGAGGTTGCAGTGAGCTGGGACTGCATTCCTTCACTCCAGCCTGGGCAACAGAGTGAGACTGGCTCTCAAAAAAATGAAATAAAGATTTTTAAAAATTAGCTGTGTATGGTGGTACGTATCTGTGGTCCCAGCTACTTGAGAGACTGAGGAGGGAGTTAGTGTCTAGGAGGTAGAGGCTGCAGTGAGCTAAGAATGCACCACTGCCCTCCAAACTGGGCCGCAGAATGAGATCCCATCTCAAGAAAAAAAGAAAAAAAATTACAAATCCAGTAGGTGTATTTACCAGCAGATTAGAGTCAGCTGAAAAAAGGGTAGTGCTCTAGAAGCAAGGTCAACAGAAAACACCTTGTTCAGGCTGGCACCGTGGCCCCTCCTGCAGCCACAGCACTTCGGGAGGCTAAGGTAGGCAGATCAGTTGAGCTCAGGCATTCAAGACCAGCCAGGGCAACATGGCAAAACCCCATCTCTACAAAAAAATTTAAAATTGAGCCAGGCCTAGTGGTGCATGCCTGTGGTTCCAGCTTCTTGGGAGGCTACAGTGAGCTGAGACTGTGCCACAGCACTCCAGCCTGGGCAGCAGAGTGAGAGACCCTGTCTCATTTCCTTAAAAATGGGGAAAAAAAAAAAAAAGAATTTAAAAAGGAAATGCCTTGCAGATACCACCACAACCAGCTCACTTTATGCTGTCTGTCCTTTTCCTGGTCTCTCAGGGTGCCCTCCCTGTCCTTTCTGTGGCCCCCCCCAGCCTTGGACAGGGAGGGGGCCTGGCTGAGAAGGCCTTTGTACTTGGGAGAGACCGAGGTGGCTTTGGAATTGGGGAGTCACTTTTCATTGCGACCCTGTTGGAAACATCAGCGCGCTGGATTAGCCTTGTGGCTTTGTTTCGATCCTCACTGGGAACCTGAGTTCTCATTGTCCTCAGGGACCCAGGCTGCGGGTGTGCTAAGCTTCCCATGCAGCTGAGAAAGCGGCTTTTGGGACAAACTTATTTTCATTTGCATCTCTCCTAAAAGCAGAGTGCACAAAAGCAGCAGCACTGGGAGCGTGTGGGGAGGGACAGGCAGCCAGCGGAGGCTGAGCCAGGATGCCATGGTTCAGGCCCACACCTCATGCAGGCGAGTGCCAACCTTCCGTAGCAGGCTGGGGTGGGGAAGGGGTGGTCTGCTGCAGAGCGTGACTGTGCAGCTGTTGCGAATCTTTGCAATTCAGATGTGTAGTGTTCTGAGAAGTTTCCCATCCTGGTTATTGCTTTCTTTATAATGAAGAGAAATAAATTCATGAGTGATGGTGTGCCCGGGCTAGGGCATAGGGCAAGGGCAGTGCACTGGGCTGTGGTGACTGCGTCCTCCTCAGGTGTGGGGCAGGGGCTACAGCATTGTTATGGCAAAGACACTGGCATTTTTACCTGAGCACAGGATAGTAACCCTTTTTGGATTTTCTGTTTGTTTTGAGATGGAGTCTTGCTCTGTTGCCAGGCTGGAGTGCAGTGGTGAGATCTCGGCTCACCACAACCTCCGCCTCCTGGGTTCAAGCAATTCTCCTGCCTTGGCCTCCTGAGTAGCTGGGACTACAGGTGTCTACCACCACCCCCAGCTGCTATTTGTATTTTTAGTAGAGAAGGGGTTTCACTGTGTTAACCAGGCTGGTCTTGATCTCTTTACCTCGTGATCCACCTGCCTCACCCTCCCAAAATGCTAAAATTACAGGCGTGAGCCACCACGCCCGGCTGGTAGTAGCTCTTTATCCTCTAAGATGCTTTGTCCCTGGGGCCAGCAAACACCTCCCAAGGGAGAATAGAGCAGGAACCCCAGATTTGCCAGCCGAGGGCAGGTAGGCCTTGTGGGGCCGTGGAAGCCACTGCACTGCTGGGAGTTTCCAGTCAGCTGAAGCCCAGTGTCCAAGCACCACCTGGACGCCCTGCAGTGTCCACTTGCTGGGTTCTCAAGAGTTTTCTCTGGGGGGCCTGTTGGGGTGGGGTACTCTGCCTGGCCTGGAGCTGCTAGATGGGAGGTGGGTTTGTGGCTCAGCTGTGTCCAGCGGTGGCCGGCTGTGGAGCGCCTCCTCTGCTTCAGTAATACTTTAATGGGCGAGAAAGACCACTGTTTTCTGGGCTACGCTTCCTGGAGCTTGTGTTCCTGGAAGCCAGCCATAAACAAGCTGGCCATAAATGAGGGTAAACAGGTACCTGAGTAAACACAGCAGAGCAAATCAGCTGCATAGGCCCAGCAGAGATGAACCTGCGGCCCTGGTGGCTATAGGGGTTGGGTGGGGAGAGGATGTCCTCTGAAGAGGTGACATTTAAGCTGAAACTGGAATGACAAGAAGGCCCCAGCTCTCCAGGCAGAGCGGAAGGCTCAGGGATCAGAATCCAGTAGGTCACGGTAAGCATTGGGTTTCGCGTTAGGGACAATGAGGAACTGATGACGGATTTTAAGTAAGTAGGGGAATAATGAGATCTAATTACATATTTGCAAGATATTCCGGGAGCTGTGAGGACAGCTGGGACAGGTACCTGGAAGCAGGGTGGCTACAGGGAGAGGCAGTGGTGACAGGGCTGGTGTGGAGGCTGCAGGATCTGGAGGGCGTGCAGGATCTGGAGGGCGTGTAGGCTCAGGGTGCATGGGGGGCGGGGCTGGGGGTGGAGCCCAGGATGATCTCAGGTATTCTAGCACCTGGATGGTGGTGGGGCCACAGACATGAGCAGGGAAGGCCTCATGCCCATCAGACCTGTCTGAGGGGAGACGTCCCATCCACGACAAAGCCCCTGCTTCAGAGGACAGCAGGGGAGTGTTTGCTGAGCAGGCATAAGCAGAGGGTCTTTCTAAGATGCAGATCTGGGCATTTAATTTTTTTGCGTGTGGTTTCATCTTACCATTAACTGTTACCTTATTTTGGATGTTGCATCATATTCAGCAGTATTGCTTAAAAACCTTTTGATTTATAGAATTTTAAGAAACTAATCATGGGATTCTTTTTTCTTTTTTGAGAACAAGTCTCCCTCTGTCATCCAGGCTGGAGTGCAGTGGCTTGATCTCTGCTCACTGCAACCTCCACCTTGGGTTCAAGAGAGTCTCCTGCCTCAGCTTCCCGAGTAGCTGGAACTACAGGTGTGTGTCACCACACCTGGCTAAGTTTTTGTATTTTTAGTAGAGATGGGGTTTCACTGTGCTAGGTCTCAATCTGCTGACCTCCTGACCTGCCCACCTTGGCCTCCAAAAGTGCTGGGATTACAGGCATGAGCCACCGCGCCCAGCCTTTTTTCTTCTTTCTGTGATAAGGTCTTGCTCTGTCACCCAGGCTGGAGTGCAGTGGTGCAATCATGGCCCATTACAGCTTTGGCCTTCCAGGCTCAAGCAGTCCTCCTGCCTCAGCCTCCCAAGTAGCTGGGACCAGAGATATGTGCCTCTATGCCTGGCTAATTTTTAAATTTTTTGTTGAGACAATTTCTTGCCATGTTACCTATACTGGTTTTAAACTACTGGGCTCAAGCAGTCCTCCCACTATGGCCTCCCAAAGTGCTGGAATTACAGGCATGAGGCACCATACTCAGCCAGAAAATTTCAGCATATTCAAAAGTAGAGACTAATATTAAAAACCTTCATGTACTCAATACCCAGCCTCAGGGTAATTTTGAAGCAAATCCCAGGTACCAGACCACTTCGTCTTTCAGTATTTTATTAATAGTATGTGACTCTGAAATACAAGGCCAGGTGCTATAGCTCACACCTGTAATTCCAACATTTTGGGAAACCAAGGCAGGAGGATCACTGGAGCCCAGGAGTTTGAGACCAGCCTGGGCAACATAGCGAGACCCCCACCCCATCAAAAAAAAATTATTTTTTTTAATTAGCCAGGTGTGGTGGCTCACACCTGTAATCCTAGCACTTTGGGAGGCTGAGGTGGACGGATCATTTGAGGCCAGGAGTTCAAGATCGCCCTGGCCAACATGATGAAACCCTATCTCTACAAAAAATACAAAAATTAGCCAGACACGGTGGTACATGTCTGTAATCCCAGCTACTAGGGAGGCTGAGGCAGGAGAATTGCTCGAACCTGGGACGCGGAGGTTGCAGTTAGCCGAGATGGTGCCACTGCACTCCAGCATGGGTGGTAGAGCAAGAACCTGTTTCAAAAAAAAGAAAAAAAAATTAGCCAGGTGTGGTGGCACATGCCAGGAGGCTGAGGCAGGATGATCCCTTCAGCCCAGGCTTCAGTGCACTGCAATCGTGCCTGTGAAAAGCCACTGCACCCCAGCCTGGGCAACGTAGCAAGACCCTGTTTCTAAAACAGTTTTTTAAAAAAGAAGACATAAGGACCAGTAAGAGTCCTTACAAACTTAAGAGTTTTAAGAACCTCTGTCCTTGTATAAAACTTCCCCAGCTGCTTGGTCAGTGTTTTACTTTCCCGGATTGCCTTTTACATGATTTGTTACATAAATGTCTGTTCGTATGAATAGAAGATTGGATGTTTTATAGGATCTAAATAAGGTCCACACATTTTATTGATCTATCTCGTTTTATTATTTATCATCCATCTCAAAATGTCAGTTTTTCTAAGCTGTGAGTTCTGCCTCTCTTCTCATTTTGAACTCTATTGATGAGCATGTACTTTGCCCTGTACAGTTTTCCACAGTCTGGGTCATACCGTGTCCTCTTAGTGCTGTTGAACACGAGCCCCTGTCCTTTTGTCATTTAGATCTAGAGGCTTGATCAGATTCAAGATTGTTTTGGCAAGAACTCTTCTAAGTGCTGCCGTGTGGGGTCTTGATTAGAAGGGACAGAGCTGTCTTTTGTGATGTTAGCAGCCACTGACATCAAGGCTGAGATCAGGGACTGCAAAATGGTGAGTTTCAAAGGCTAGCATTCCTTCCTTGTGTAGTAGCTGGAATCCACCTGTTTAAAGACAGCCTTCTTGAACTCTGGGGTACTGGGCAGTACTCTTGCACAGGAAAGGCAGAACACTGCCTTGATCCTTTGACTTTGCCTTTTTGCAGAGTAATGAGTTGACTCCCTAGCACCCCCCCAAGGTAGCTAATAACTATTTAATGCCAATGTGAACTCATGTTTTGAAATACAGTGATATGTTTAAGCCATTGCAGTTATTTTTGGTAGCAATTTGTTGAATTGAGAATTTCTTTTTTGATTTGTTTGTTTGAAGTGGAGTCTTGCTCTTTCACCCAAGCTGAGGTGCAGTAGCACAATCTTGACTCACTGCAACCTTGACCTCCTGGGTTCCAGTGATTCTCCTGCCTCAGCCTCCCGAGCAGCTGGGACTACAGGTGCGTGCCACCACACCTGGCTAATTTTTTGTATTTTTAGTAGAGACGGAGTTTTACCGTGTTAGCCAGAATGGTCTCAATCTCCTGACCTGGTGATCCGCCCATCTCGGCCTCCCAAAGTATTGGGATTACAGGCGTGAGCCATCGCGCCCGGCATAGAATTGAGAATTTATTTGTGACAGAATATTGAAGCAGTAGTGAATGATGAAGGCTAGAAGTTAAATTCATTAGAGGAGAAAATCTAATCTAGGCATACCCGTTATGTTAAATCAAAGCTTCACGCTTTCGCAGTTCAGAGCACTCTTGATTAAGGTTCAACGATTATTTTAATACTAGGCCAAAAGAAATCCCTAACAGTGGTGCCGGATAGGAGACAGGTTGTTTTTATCTTGTTGCCTGGGTATTGTCCTGGGATTCTCTGTCCCATCTGAGTAAAGCGTTGTGGGATAAAGGAATTTCTTGGGGCCAGGAGCTTCTTAAGTTAAATCACTAGAAATTTAGGTATGATCTGGGCCTTCAAATGTGTGAGAAGCTGTATCCTTTTATTTCTCACTGCATTTTCCCCAACTTCTAGTTGATGAGAAACCATTCTTGAGGCCGGGTGTGGTGTCTCATGCCTGTAATCCCAGCACTTTGGGAGGCGAGGCAGGTGGATCACCTGAGCTCAGGAGTTTGAAACCAGCCTGGCCAACATAGTGAAACACTGTCTCTACTAAAAATACAAAAAATTAGCCAGGCATGGTGGTGCATGCCTGTAATCCCAGCTACTGTACTTGGGAGGCTGAGGCAGAATTACTTGAGCCTGGAAGGCAGAGGTTGCAGTGAGCTGAGATCGTGCCATTGCACTCCAGCCTGGGCAGCAAGAGTGAAACTCTGTCTCAAAAAAGAAAAAAATATTGAAGAGTTTTTATATGTGGGAACTAAGGTAGTATTGTAAAATTTCAAGTCATCCTTAAACAGAATGACCCACTTAGGAACTTGATCCGGTGAAGTGGCAAAATCAACTGGGGTTAGTTCCTTGAAGTTGTTTTTATTATGGTTTCCTTTGTGTGTGAGTTAATTCATTTATATTTACTATATCTCTTTTAAATTAGAAAGTATTTTTTATTATGTATGTCCTTTTAGATTTTACTTGTAGCTGATACTTTGAAATAATCACCCAGTTGTGTAGCATCATCTAAATCTGAGCATCTTAAGCTTCGGTAGGAAACCATGAGTTATTAATACCTTTTCCATTCATATATCAATTTCGGAAGGAAACGTAAATGAATATTCTAAATAGGGCTCATTGGTATTAATCTCCCTTTTATGTTTGGGGGAAAAAAGGCTGAGACATTGCATGAAAGATGATGCAGGGTATACACTGATCTTTGCTATTAAAAACGGGGCCAAAATAGTATTGGCTGTTTGAGCACTGTCCTGGTCTGTTGTTTTCTTCATCATTTATTTATAGTCAATTTTTGAATTCCTGTAATATGAGACCTTTTTCTATCTTTTAACCTTTTGTTACCTGCATTTAATAAATCCAGATTATATGGTACTTCAACAACAAAAAAAATCCCTAACAGTTCCATTTATTAAATAAGTAAACTCAAATAAGTATTTGTGTCCTGGCAACTTATAGTGGATGTCTAGAAAATTAATGCATATAAAGAAAAATGTTCATCTTACTTGTTTGTCCATGGGATGGGTGCCTGTCAAGCATTTCTTCAGCTTGGAATCTGATGGAACACCGCCACCCTCATTGCCTCTTTTTCCATGTTGACCTTCACGGCAATTGCTTGTTGAGTAACTGCCACAACCCAGCTTTGCAGAGAGAGGATATCTTAGGAAGGAATAAAGCAAGGTAAGCTAGTGTTGAGACTGTAAACGGCCTTGAGCACAGCAGAGTGTGACTGCTTCCCTCAACTAAGGGGACCTGAGGGTGCCTGTGGGTTCATGGGAGTGCCTCCGTGCAGTTGGGAACCCCAGCTCTGCCTCCTTCCCTGTCCCTCTTAATCAGTAGAAATCGCCTCTCCCTGGCCTGCACGTTGCTGGGTGGCACAACACGGCCTGTGGGGGCACAAAGCCCTAGGTGGCCTGTGCCACCGCCACAGGTGTTCCTTTGAGGCCATTTGTTTCCAACCATGGCGCTTATAGGATTTTTCCTTTATCATTTGATTTCAGCCGCATCAGAGCGTGTGACCTGGCTCAGACGTCAATATAACTGTTATGTGTTCTTTTCTCTTCCTGTGTCTGTGACAGATTAATTTAACGCAAGAATGCTGCAGATCCTCAGGGTTGGTGTAAAAATAGCTCATCCTGATGTGAGAAAGCAGTCAGCTTTTCTTGTTGCCATTGGCTGCCAGCACCCATTCTTTGTGGATGTGAAAATGCCACAGGTGCTGCACTTCCTCCTCAGGCATTCCGCAGCGCCCATGCCTGTCTCCAGAGTGGGGCCCAGGATGGACGCGTGTACCCCACTCTGTCCCCTGATGTGGAGCTTGGCCCTGCAGCTCAACAGCACCCATGGAATGTGGACAGAAGTGACAGCAGCCAGCTCTGCCTCTTCACTGAGGCGGCACATGTTCTGCATGTGCCCTGGGAGCCTCCACCTTCCACACTGTGGGAAGAGGGTGCCCAGGGAGCTGCAGTCCCTCCACCCTAGCCCAGGACAAGGCTCAGGAGCAGAGCCATCCCCACCGACCTGCACCTCACAGCCCTGCAGGTGTGAGGGAAGTGCGTGTTGTACACACTGAGTTTTCAGGTGGCTGTGACATGGCAGCATTGCCTGACACGGACAGAAAAGAGATCCGCCAGGGAGAAGTGAGAGTCTGGAGACCCCGCATCGGAGAGGCCACAGGCTGCAGGGGCAGGATGGCTTCTTAGAAGGTGAAATGATTCTTTTGGAAATAACGTCATCCCATCTAACAGAGGAAGACATGGAGCCTCCAGATGGTTGAAGGCCCAGCAGTGATCCCAGACAGGCCGCATGTCAGACCAGGCTCCTTCAGGGTTGTGCTGCCCTCACCAGAGCCCGTCCTGAGGGCAGCCACACGGTGGGCAGCACTCGCCATTTGTTCAAGCGAGGCCCAAATTCCAGCCTGCCTTCTGGCAGGTAGAGGAAGCAGGGGCACCATGCTTCGGAGGTCCTGAAAGCAGATGGGGAAGCATTTGGTCAAGAGCCAGGAGGGGATGACAGACCAAAGGGGAGCCCTTGTCCCATGTTCTGAAGGCCGGGGGGCTGGACACTTGCTCGGTGAGCTATAATTGGCGTCCCTGTGCCCCACCGGAAGGTGCACCAGGCGTCATCTTTGGTGGAGAACAGTGGCTGCCCTGGAGCCTTGCGCCCTTCCCCGTCGTGGGTCACTGTCACGTGTGTGTCCAGGAAAGAAAAACACCAAAGGCAGAGGACCAGTCATTCCCTAGGCCAAATACTCCATGGCCTTGCTTAGAGACTGGATTTTGATATGCTGGAGGCTGTCCTAGACTCAGAGATTGGAAACAGGAAAGAACCATCATTGAAACCTTTGGGAAAGCCTGCAGCGGGGCATCTGGTGGCCTGAGGAGTGGCGGTGTTTCCATCTGGTAGACACGGTCTCATGGGGAGGGACGTAGGAGCGCATGAGCGCTGCCAGCCAGAGGTGTCTGTCAGCGTCTTATGAAATGGGCTCCAGTCTTGAAGCTGGTTTACCTTCCTATTTTTAGTCCCCGCTGGTCCTGCCTTCTCCTTCATGGCCAGTAGGCCAGACCCAGCACTTTCCTGACTTTCGACCTTGGCCCCTGCTGACACTCGCCCTTGAGGCCTCCTGCAGACCCCATTTGTATTCACTTCCTGCAGTTCTCATACCTGGATCCCACCTGGGCTTCCCCAAGGCCTTCCAGGCCCTCATCCCCCGGCGGGGACTACAGACTCCTACACGCAGGGCTGTCCTTGGGAGGGCCAGCGCAGCCCCTTCCAAGTGGGCAAGACCCAGGGATGGCTCAAAAGAGCTGTGCCTTAGCCCCGGACCTCTGATGAATGTTGATTCATGTAGCAAGAGGACTTGCAGATGTGAGTAAAGGCTGGTGAGATAAGACCATCATCCCCGCTATCTGGGAGGCCCCTAAATGCAGGCACACACATCTTCTGAAGAGGAGGCAGAGATGGGTGACACAGCCACAACCAAGGAAGACCAAGGATTGCTGGTAGCCCACAGAAACTGGAGGGCAAGGAGGGTCCCTCCAGAACCTGCAGGAAGTAGACCAAGGTCCTGCTGTCATCCTGACTTCATACGTCCAGTCTCCAGAACTGAGAGAAGATCCATTTCTATTATTGTTAAGCAACCAAACTTGTGGTAGTTACAGCAGCCTCAGGAAATGAATACAAATGGAAACTTAAAGATTCAGAGAAATGAGTGGGTGCAGTGGACCATGACTGTAACCCCAGCATTTGTGTGAGGATTGCTTGAGGTCAGAAGTTGGAGACCTTGTCTCCATGAAAAACTTAAAATATACGCCAGGCATGGTGGCTCATGCCTGTAATCCTAGCACTTTGGAGGCCAAGGTGGGCGGATCACTAGATCAGGAGTTTGAGACCAGCCTGACCAATAATGTGAAACCCCATCTCTACTAAAAATACAAAAGTTAGTCAGGCATGGTGGCGCATGCCTATAGTCCCAGCTACCCGGGAGGCTAAGGCAGGAGAATTGCTTGAACCAGGGAGGTGGAGGTTGCAGTGAGGGGAGATCACAGCACTGCCCTCCAGCCTGGGTCACAGAGTGAGACTCCATCTCAGCAAAAAATAACTGGGTGTGGTGGTGTGCACGTGTAGTCCCAGCTATGTGGGAGGATTGCTTGAGGCTAGGAGTTCAAGACTAGTCTGGGCAACACAGCAAGATCCCATCTCTACCAAAAATTTAAAAATTAGCCAGGCATGGTGGCATACCCATAGTCTTAGCTTCTCAGGAGGCTGAGGAGGGAGGATTACCTGAGCCCAGGAGGTTCAGGCTATAACGAGCCATTTTGCCACTGCACTCCAGCCTTGGCAACACAGTGTAAGACCCTGTCTCAAAAACAACAACAGAAACTCAAAAGAACCAAGAAATGACTGGACTGGAGGCCTGGCCTTCAGCTGCTGCCCTGCCCTGTGACCTGGTCACTTGGGATCCCCTGGGCCTTAACATAGAGCCTATTGTCCACCTCAAGAAAGCTCCCCACTGCCTGACCGACAACTTGGGGTGGGCCTTGCGGCCCCCACCTGTCCTGGCCCCACAGTGCTGGTGCTGCATGGCCCCTGATGCTTGCTCTGAGCTCCTCAGCCTCCTGCAGAGTTCCCTGCACCCGACAGCAATGAATCAGGAAGGCAGGCGTGTCCTGGACCACAGAGCAGCCCTGGCTGTGCAGCCACCAGGGGGCTCCATTTGTAACCCTGGATGTGGCTTTGGCCTCTTACTCAAAGGTAACCTTGGGGCTCCCAGACAAGAGACAGGGAGAGGGGAGCCCAGTCCCACCCTCCTACACATATCTTGCCCTATCCCAGAAAATGGGGGCAGCTGCACGTGCAAGGGACACAAGAACCTTTGGCCTTGTTATCAGACACTTTAAATGCAAACATGATTATCAGGTGCAATTTTCACAGCAGCAAGAAACTTGTACCTACAGAAATAAGCACATTCCAGCAACCCACCTGTGCGGAAAGCCACACAGCGCCATTGTTTTTGGCACCCTCAGGTGACAGGGCACACGTGCCCCAGGGAAGGTCACAGTTGCCTGAACCTTTAAAACTCCCAGGACTTGTACTGCGTGTGCAAGATCCAGAGCCCAGCAGCACTGCCAGGGCCTTGAAGTGCTTCTTCAGAGACCTCTCTTCATAAACTGCTTATTTTCTTAAAGCAGGGAAAGGAGGAAATTGACATCAAAGGATATTCTAGATTCTTGACAGCACTCTCATCATCTCTGAGGACATCACCAGCATCTCAGGTGAGCAGCCGGTGGAGTCCCTCTGGGTGACTGGCCGGTCTGGAACAGGGAGGGAGGCTTAGAGTCTCGTGCTATAGCGGAGACTCTAAGCATAGGGGCTCCAGCGTCCCTCCAGGTGGGTTTTCTGGTTGATGGAGTGACTCGGGGTCCTCTATGTGGTGCCAGCTGTTTGGCTTTCTGGATGTTGTAGGAAAGGCTTGCAGGGGTCTCCCCTGCCCACGTCCCCCTGACCTTGAGCTCCACCAGCCCCTGCCAATTGGGCTCCAGGAGGCTAGAGTGCTGTGGCAGGGGTGACACCTCACTTCTGCCATGTCTCTGCACCCTGTGCTCTCCCAGGATGAAGGCCATGAGGCTGCCGGGGGCACTGCTGGCACTGGCCGCCCTGCTGCAGGGGGCTGTGTCCCTGAAGATCGCAGCCTTCAACATCCAGACATTTGGGGAGACCAAGATGTCCAATGCCACCCTTGTCAGCTACATTGTGCAGGTGAGGCCAGGGTGGCCTCTCCCTGAAAGCAGAGGAGCCCCAGAGTCGGGGGCTGGTGGGCAGGGCCACAGAGTGGCAGGTGTGGGGCACTGAGCCCAAAGCCCAGCAGAACAGGGTCCTGGCTGCAGACCAGGGTCCTCCTCCCTGCTGTGTTGTCCATAGCTGGCAGCAGGAGCCTGGGCAGAAACACGAGGCTGTGGCTAAACCGAGGAATGCCACAAGCAGCAGCTGTGGCTCCCTTTGTGGCACTGTGGGGTCCCTGGGTGGCACCAGCCCTGCTGAGCATCACTGTTGCCCTGCCCCCAGATCCTGAGCCGCTATGACATTGCCCTGGTCCAGGAGGTCAGAGACAGCCACCTGACGGCCGTGGGGAAGCTGCTGGACAACCTCAATCAGTGGGTGACAGTGTCAGGCTCCTAAGGAGGTGACATGCCATCCAGGCACAGCTTTGCTTCAATTGGGCCCCAAGGGTGGGGACCTGGGCAAAGCCCTGGTGTTGGCAGCCACAGAGGTCCTTCATGCCCCTCTCATTGAGACCTTGTGTTTCTTCAATCCAGGGATGCACCAGACACCTATCACTACGTGGTCAGTGAGCCACTGGGACGGAACAACTATAAGGAGCGCTACCTGTTTGTGTACAGGTGGGTGGTCCAGAGAGCGAGGAAGCCCCTCCCTCACCTGGGGGGGCCCCAGCAGAGCGGGTAAGTAGTTTGTCCTATGGGGCAAGAACCTGAGGTGGCAGAGCAGGGTCCAGGGTGGAGTCAAAACACCCCGAGGTCACGGATCCATGGGGCGACCAGGTGCCTGGCTCTCCCTCCCAGGTGCCTTTCATAGCCAGTGGACAGGCAGGTGGGCCCAGACCCCACCCTCCTGTTGCCTAGGACGCCACAGCTGCCTCCTGGGAAGTTGGACTAGGGCAGTTCCAGCCTGGGGTCATCTCCTGCCTGGCCTTCCCTCAGGCCCGAGCTGGTGTCTGCAGTGGACAGCTACTACTACGATGACGGCTGCGAGCCCTGCGGAAACGACACCTTCAGCCGAGAGCCAGCCATCGTCAAGTTCTCAGCCCCGTTCACAGGCAAGTGCTGCCTGGGCCAGGGTGGAGCTCAGCATGGCGCTTACGGCCTCCACCCACTCCTAGGGCACCTGGAATGCCTGTGTCACTGCCCTCCTAGTCCCTGGGGCTGGGGTTTTCCATTCAAGTGGTTTGGAAAATAACCCCCCTTGGGGGGGACTGTCATGACGCATAGTTCCAGCTGACATCGTGACTGAACCTGCCCCCAGGGAATGTGGCTGCTGCAGTGTACCTCACATGACATGGTGTCTCCACAGAGGTCAGGGAGTTTGCCATTGTTCCCCTGCATGCTGCCCCAACGGACGCAGTAGCTGAGATTGATGCTCTCTATGACGTCTACCTGGATGTCCAAGAGAAGTGGGGCTTGGAGGTGAGGCCATACCAAGGGCAGTGGGTGCCAGTGGCCTCCGCTTGTCCCTGGGCCCACAGGCGGTATTTCCTGGTAGGATATCATGTTGATGGGCGACTTCAATGCGGGCTGCAGCTATGTGAGACCCTCCCAGTGGTCATCCATTCGCCTTCGGACAAGCCCCATCTTCCAGTGGCTGATCCCCGACACCGCTGACACCACGGCTACGTCCACGCACTGCGCCTATGACAGGTGAGCAGGGCATCTCGGGGCAGAGAGGGGCGCCTCCAGGAGCAGCTGTGACTTGTACATCTGGCTTCAGAGGCCTTTGGACACTCACCCAACTGAGCTTCAGTCGATCCGTTCAGGGAACATAATGAAAAGAGCCACGATTTTCAGTTTTGGGGTAAAGCACATTTGGGGATAAGAGGAGAGGCAGACATCCCAGCTGTCACGTGGTCTCCACTTGCTGGGCTGTGCGGTTGTGGACATCCACAGACCTGCACTGGCTCCAGCTACGGCAGGGGGAGGTCCCAGGGCTCTTGGCTTAGTTCCTGTGGGCACTAAGCCAGGCCAGCGGGTGAAAGGGGACCCTGCTCTCTCGTCCCAACACCCATCAGGATTGTGGTTGCAGGGACGCTGCTCCAAGACGCCGTTGTTCCCGACTCGGCTCTTCCCTTTAACTTCCAGGCTGCCTATGGCCTGAGTGACCAACTGGTACGTGTCCTCCCTGGCCCAGCCACATGGGGATAGGACACAGCCCACACCCTGTGCCCACTTCCTTGCAGGCCCAAGCCATCAGTGACCACTACCCAGTGGAGGTGATGCTGCAGTGAGCAGTTGAACTGGAGGAAGAGGACCCAGCACGCCGCAGGACCCAAACAAAAAGCCCAACGCTCAGGTTAACAAATACCTTTTAATTTAGGTAAATAAAGCTCAAGGATGTGGGGCTGTCATCTGTGGTGTCAATCCTCCTTCCCCTGCCTGAGCAGAGGCCTCTGGTTGTCAGTGTCGCTCCAGGGCCTTGACAAGCAGCTCATTCAGGCGGCCTACCATGGCCCTGGGGTCATCAACGAGCCCAGCGGCTATCATGGCATTCTCATATATCTGAAAAACAAGGGTAGAAACCCACTGTGAGGTACCTTTTCCTTTTGAGATAGAGTCACCCATTTAATCTTTTTGTTCTGTCACCCAGGCTGCAGTGTAACGGTGAGATCTCAGCTCACTGCAACCTCTGCCTCTTGGGTTCAAGGGATTCTCCTGCCTCAGCCTCCTGCGTAGCTTGGACTACAAGCATGTGGCACCATGCCCAGCTAATTGTTACATTTTTAGTAGATACACGGTTTCACCATGTTGGCCAGGCTGATCTTGAACTCCCGACCTCAGGTGATCCACCCGCCTTGGCCTCCCAAAATGCTGGGATTATAGGCATGAGCCACCGCGCCCGGCCCATTTTTTCCTTTTTAAAGCAGGATTTTTGAGGAAACTGCTGTTCCACCCGGAAGGCAGGCCTGGGTCCCTGCAGTCATCCTAAACTGTTGCACTCACCTGATCCACCAGCAGCTGAGCCAGGCCAGGTTCGCTCACCCGCAGCTGATTCAGCTTCTTGATGAGTGCATGCCTGCAACAGAGAACCCGACAGAAAAAGCGGCTCAGGACCATGCCCTGTGAGCCTCTCTTCATGTTCTGGAATTGTCCGAGTATTTAAAGAAGCACAGTAAGACTATCCAGTTTGTTTTTTTCCCCCTATAAACTTACGTGACATTGTTTTTTAAAGGTATGTAAATGATTATTTATAGATGATATGATTACACATTCAGAAATCCCAAGAGAATCAGGAGTTTCAATATTAGAAAATGCTGTAAGCTGGCCAAGTACCAAGATTAACATACACAAAAGGGACAAAAGAGCTTAGCATATGAAGACATGCCTTGGTTCCTAGATCAGTAATAATAAAAGAGAAGGGAGGAAGTCCCACGTGTTGAAACATAGTACAGCGCTCTTACAGTTTAGTTCTGGAAAGGGGGAAGGCAAACAGCTCCGTGTAATGAGGGAAGGAGAAGGAGCACTTAGATAACTGGTGAGCCATGCAGAAAACCATTTAGACCAAAATGAATTCCAGAGGGATCAGTTTTATAATCTGTCTTTCCAAGCAAAACTACAAACCCAGAGGCCAAAAACTGATACACTTATTTGACTACAAATTTTTCTGCATAGGAAAAAGCACCATATAGTGTTTAACCTTAACATGAAAACTATACTTTTGCACTTAGGACAAGTCTGATAAAACTGAGAACTTGGGGGAAATGCAAATTTGTACAGTCTCTCCAGAGGACAGCTGGAGTTGAGAAAACCACATGTGGATGATGTGCTCAGACTTAGCCACTCCATTTCCTAACTGCATCCCTTGAAACATTTTTTTCATATGGAGTCTTACTCTTTAGCTCAGGCTGGAGTAAAGTGGCGTGATCTCAGTGGCGTGACCTCCTCCTCCCACATTCAAGTGATTCTCCTGCCTCAACCTCCCAAGTAGCTGGGATTACAGGTACCCGCCACCACGCCCAGCTACTTTTTGTATTTTTAGTAGAGACAGGATTTCACCACGTTGGCCACACTGGTCTCCACTCCTGACCTCAGGTCATCCTCCTGCCTCAGCCTCCCACATACATCCTCAAACTTCTAGTCTATGTAGCTGGAAAAAAACTCCATTCTTCACATGCTAATGTGGAGGTCACCTAGTTACCCGAAGTGAGAAAAGCAAGGCAAGGACCCACTGCACAGCAAGTTACCCCTTGTGTAACACAGAAGAAACCCACTGGTGCACCTGTCCACAAGTGCACATAATCTCTGCAGAAATACGCAACTCTAATGCTGGCTGCACTGTGGACATGGATGGGAGGAAATTTTCCCCCATAAACACTTTTGAATTCTGAGCTATGTGGATGTAACACGAAATTTTAAAGCAAATGCAAGTGAAGCTGGCTGGGCACAGTGGCTCTGGCCTGTAATCCCAGCACCTTGGGAGGCGGGAGGACCGCTTGAGCCCAGGAGGTTGAGGCTGCAGTGAGCTCTAATGGCGCCACAAGTGCACTCCAGCAAGACCCTGTCTCAAAAAAAAAAAAAAAAAAAAGTGAAGTCCTTTGGCAATAGACAGAAACGAGCACTTCTACACAGCGATCTTATAAAACTAGTTACAGTGGCTGATGTCTGCCTCACTGAGCTGCTCCAGCAGAGGCGCAGGCATTCTGTACACTGTCACTGCTGTGGGAAGGTGCTTACTCAGTAATGCCAGCCAGAAACCGAGTCAGCTTTTCTGCAGGAGTGCCATGGCTAGAAAATGGATCTCCCTCACCACCATTATAATTTTAAAAGTTAGGTTTATCAAAGATCAGATGACAACCCTAACAAAAATAAGCAATGGGGAAACGACTCCATGTTTAACAAATGGTGTTGGGGAAACTGGACCCCTTCCTGTCACCTTACACTAAAATTAACTTCAGATACATTAAACATTTAAACATAAAACCTAACACCATAAGAAAACGTAGGCAAAACCATCCAGGACATAGGCATAGGCAAAGACTTCATGACTAAAATACCTAAAGCAATGGCAACAAAAGCCAAGATAGACAAATGGGATCTAATTAAAATTCAGAGCTTCTGAACAGCAAAAGAAGCCATCATTAGAGCAAACCGGCAACCAACAAAATGGGAAAAAATTTTTGCAGTCTACCCATCTCACAAAGGGCTAATATCCAGAATCTACAAAGATATACAAGAAAAAAATAACCCCATATAAAAGTGGGCAAAGGATATGAACAGACACTTTTCCAAAGAGGACATATATGAGGCCAACAAACATATGAAAAAATGCTCATCATCACTGGTCATCAGAGTAACGCAAATCAAAACCACATTGAGATACCACCTCAGAGGTGTCTGCTGTGCCGAGGTGGGTTCCTACAGCGAGTGTGATTTGGCTACAGAAATGAACTGGTGGCAGCCCCTCTGCATAGGCAACCCTCACACCAAGTGAGCAACGCGAGACCTCAGCACACACCAGGATCCACGCGCAAAGCTCAAAACAGGCAAAACTGAGCACATCCAGGACGTGAACAGGTGGTAAAGCCATAAAGCAAAACAAAGACGTGGTCATAGGGTGGGTTGTGGCTAACCTCCCTGCGGACAGCAGGTTCCATTTCACATGGGTGCAGCTTCAACTGAATACAGCTCCTTAGAGTCACCCAAATGTCCACAGGCCTCACACACTTTTCTTCTGTGTCACATTCCACAATGAAAGAATACCACACATAGGATTCTGGGGAATCCTCGCAGGCTGGAAGGGCCAGGAGCACAGCCTCACCTGGGGTTGATCTCCAGCGTGGGCTGCAGGAGCTGTGCTCGCTCCTCCTGGGTCTTGGCCAGCTGCTGCATGCGCAGGAAGTGCCGGGCGGCCCCCATCTCCAGCACGGTGACCATAGCAGGGTGGGTGTCCAGTCGGAAGGTCACCTGTGAGCGAAGCCAGGGGTTGAGGGTGATAGAGGTTCCCAAGGTGAGAGGGCCAGGAGCCGGCAGGATCTTAACCAGGGGTGAAGGTCACCCAGACCACAAGGTAGCAGTCAGGGAGGGTCCCAAGGACTCCCCTGAACCAGCGCTGCTCTGCCATCCTCCCCACGGCCCATTAACCAGTGGGCCCTGAGCTGCTGCCCCCAGGAGCTGCCCAAATTCATCCTCTACTCCACGCCCACCCACCCAGCATGAGGCCCCTCCTGCATGTGGCCCTGCATGAGACACTCATTTCTCTTCTTGCTCTAGGCTAGACCAGTGGTTTGGGTGGGGGGGGGGGGGGGGGGGGGGAGGGTCTGTGCTGTGAGAGGCGCAATCAGAACCCCAGACTAAGAACCCAAGTGAGAATGTGAGCTCCTGAGGGGTGGGGACCAGGATGGCTGGCTGGGGCTGCTGGTATTTCAGTTCTCAGTTCCCACCTACTCTGTAACAGCACTGGGGAGGGGCTGGGTGATAGGATGATGATGCTGCCTTCCTGCCTCAGTGGCCCCCCACCAGGTAACACATATGCCAAGCAGGGACCCTAGCACGGTCTCCACCTGACACCACGGGCTTCTGCTGCTGGAAGGACACCCACCAGGCAAGGTACTGGGAGCCACCAGCTGGCCAGCCTGTTAGGAACACCGAGGGCCACAGTGGCAGAGTGGTGGTCCATCCCAGGAAAGCCTCACCTTCACGTTGGTGACACGCGACCCCAACACGTTTCTCATCCAGGCCATGAGCTCCTCTGTCTCCTCCTCTGACAGGCGCTCAGTAGCTGCAGAAGAGAACGCGAGAGTGAGCTCAGGCCTGCACCCCCACTCCCCAGCTTCTAGGTGGGGCACGCAGCATCCTGCCAGCTCTCCCACCTCCTCTCCCACCAGGATGGAGACAGAAGCTAGCAAGATGCTTTTCACCTAAAAGTAAAACCTCAAAGGATGCTTCTGGTTGCCTGACGCCCATACAACTTGGTTAGGGCTTTAAAAAGACAATTCAGTCGGGCATGGTGGCTCATGCCTGTAATCCTCGCACTTTAGGAAGCCAAGGTGGGTGGATCGCTTGAGGTAAAGAGTTCAAGACCAGCCTGACCAACATAGTGAAACCCCATTTCAACTAAAGACTTAAAAAATTAGCTGGGCGTGGTGGCACATGCCTGTAATCCCACCTACTCAGGAGGCTGAGGCAGGAGAATGGCTTGAACCCAGGAGGTGGAGGCTGCAGTGAGCTGACATCACACCACTGCACTCCAGCCTGGGCAACAAGAGCAAAACTGTCTCAAAAAAGAAAAAGATAATTCATGGCTTCTCAGGAAGCTGAGCCAGCTCCAGAAGCCACCATGGCAGGAGCACTGGACAGATCCCTGGTATCTAAACCAGGAGGCACCTCCCTCTAGTCACCAGGGTGCTCCCACACAGCTCCTCTCAGAGGCGGCTGAGCCCACATCAGCTCAGGAAAACCCTACTGCTGAGCAGGAGATGTGCAGGACATAGGCACCGGCCCATGCCTAGAGAGCAGGGGATGCTAACCTGGGGATCCATCCTCAAACTTCTCCTCCTTGTAGTGATCCACGACAATGTCCGTCTCCACGGAGATCAGCTTCTTCTTGTCAAACTCACGAAGGTGCAGCAGGGTGAGCTCATCAAACTGCTCATAGCAGAAGAGAACCTGCAGGTGGCCAAGAGGGGTTCCATCAGGCCCAGGTGGCCTCCACCCACCACAGAAGAGAGGATGTGGATGGTGGGAAGGCTACATAAGCCAGGCGGGGAACACCTGGGATGCTGGGGTCCCAGGCCCACGTGACAGTTACTGCGACACCTGGTTCTGAGGAAGGCTCTGACTGCCTTCAAGGCAGAAGCGCTCTACACATAAAGAAATCTACAAGTGACCTCCAAATGAGAAACACAACCATCGCAGTTGGTCCAGCCTCTGTGCCCGTGACCCTGACTCACTGTGCAGCCCTGAGCTGGGTCCTGGGCAGGTTCACCCAGCACAGAGCTGAGAAAGTCAAGATTGTCCCCAAGCTGCAGCCCCGGGATCCCGTCCTACCCACGGCTCACCCACCTCTGTGTCTTTCTGTTTCATGGCTTCGTAGTAGGGCGAGTGCTCTGCCAGGTGCCGGTTGGGGGCACACAGGTAATAGATGTTGCGGGTGCCAGCCCGCATGCGGCTGGCATATTCCGAGAGGCTGGTTAGCTGCCCGGCTGGCAGTGCAGAGGACTCGTAGCGCAGCAGCTTTGCTATGTCCTCCTGGAAGGGACAGGGCAGATCAGGCCCACAGGCTCAATGCCCCCTGAAACGGCACAAACCATCTGATGTCCACGGCCTCCTGGCACTCGGGCTGGCCCTGACCCCAGGGACTATGGTGCACTTGGGGGTTGTCAGAGATAGGCCTTGCTCTGCCTGTCAGGCCCCTTTCCAAAGCTCTGGGAGCATGGGAAGCACCTCCTGCTCCAGAGGGCCCGCGGGCTCTCCAGGGAGCTGCATACACCACGCCCTAGGTGGGCTCCCTGCTCAACAGCAGAGCCCGGCAGGATGCACAGCTGCACCATCGTCACGTCAGGGGACGCCTCCGTCAACTTCCTCAGCAGCCCCAGGGACAAGGTGGCCCAGAGAAAGGCCTGGAATGCAGCTCGTACCTTGACCTCCTGCTCGGCAGTGGTCACAATGCCCTCCCGCATAAACAGGCCATAATCTTCAAAAAACTTTGCATACTTCTCAGCATCTTTTTTACTCTGATCAACGAAGAATTTGATCAGCCTCTGCTGTAAAACATCCCGGAGTTTCCTACAGAAAAGAAATGCAGTTAACACATATAAGCATCTTCTATGAAACAGAGCCAGCCAGTATGAAAAAATGTTCAGCCCCATTAAGAATCAAAGAAATGAAAACAAGGTACCCCTATTGGCCCAACGGAAAGGGACTGAGCAGAAAGACTGAAACTCCTGGCAGTGGCCGGGCAGGAGGCAGCAGGGTGGAGCGCACACACCCCCTGGAGGCGGGAGGAGAACTGCAGCCCCGAGAGACAGATACCCACGCCTGGAAAATGCTTCCAACCCTTAAGCCAGTTGTTCCAATCATGGGAACTGTACTTTAGAAAATACAGGAGCACACCAAGATTTATGCACCAGGATTTTCACTGTGGCACATCAAATATAACAATTATGAACAACCTCATGTTCAACAAAAGAATACAGGCAAAATTATGCAATCCTCAATGACCACAAAAAAATCACATCTTTTGGCAGGGCGTGGTGGCTCACGCCTGTAATCCCAGCACTTTGGGAGGCTCAGGTGGGCGGATCACCTGAGGTTGAGAGTTTGAGCCCAGCCTGACCAACATGGAGAAACCTCGTCTCTAATAAAAATACTAAAATTAGCAGGGCATAGGCCAGGCACGGTGGCTCACGCTTGTAATGCCACTTTACTGGGAGGCCAAGACCATCCTGGCCAACATGGTGAAACCCTGTCTCTTAAAAAAAAAAAAAAAAATTAGCAGGCATGTAATCCCAGCAACTTGGGAGGTTGAGGCAGGAGAATCACTTTAACCCAGGAACCCGGAGGTTGTGGTGAGCCAAGATCATGCCATTGTACTCCTGCCTGGGGAACAAGGGCAAACCTCTCAAACAAAAAAAAAAAAGAAAAAAGAAAAACCAGAAAGATCCCAATAGATAAACTGTAGTGTATCTATAGATACAGGCAAGAGACTGTACATTCTACAGGTACATAACAATTTTTCATAATTAGAAGCAACACTGTCTATACTATGTATGTACACTGTACTTTGGGATTTGTTTTTTGAGACGGAGTCTCGCACTATTTCCTAGGCTGGAGTACAGTGGCGCGATCTCTGCTCACTGCGACCTCTGCCTCCTGCGTTCATGCCATTCTCCTGTTTCAGCCTCCCAAAGTAGGTGGGATTACAGGCCCACACCACCATACCCGGCTCACGTTTTTTGTATTTTTATAGAGATGGGATTTCACCATGTTGGCCAGACTTGTCTCAAATTCCTGACCTCGTGATCCACCTGCCTTGACCTCCCAAAGTGCTGGGATTACAGGCGTTGAGCCACCACACCCTGCCTTGGATTTATACTGAATATATGTACCCTCTAATTTTTCAAAATTAGGATTTTAGGGATCAGGATGTTTACTGCCGCATTACATAAAATTAGGAACAACTTTATCAGTGGGATTAGGGATATTTTTATTTCCTTCTTAATATTTTGCCTTTCCTTTAAGCAGGTAAGTTACAGTGTATTTCTTTTTTTTTTTTTTTTTTTTTTTGAGACGGAGTTTCGCTCTCGTTACCCAGGCTGGAGTGCAATGGCGCGATCTCGGCTCACCGCAACCTCCGCCTCCTGGGTTCAGGCAATTCTCCTGCCTCAGCCTCCTGAGTAGCTGGGATTACAGGCACGCGCCACCATGCCCAGCTGAATTTTTGTATTTGTAGTAGAGACGGGGTTTCACCATGTTGACCAGGATGGTCTCGATCTCTTGACCTCGTGATCCACCCGCCTCGGCCTCCCAAAGTGCTGGGATTACAGGCTTGAGCCACCGCGCCCAGTCGTTACAGTGTATTTCAACAATCTCGAGCAACGGAACGAAACTCTCTAGAGTTCATTTAAAGCCTTTCCTCCTCCACTCCATTCCCTATGACTCAGTCCTTCAGCGACAAGGCAGAATGGAACAGGGCATCATGTGTTCATGCCTGGGAGTGGGGGGACAGTAGCCCAGGGAAGAAGGCGTCTATGCAAGGCCATGGTTGGGAAGAGCCTGGTATGTGTGTCAGAGCCCAAGAACCCCAGAGGAGTGTGTCCAGGCTGGTGGCATGAGCAGCCCACTGTGGAGTCAGAGCCCAAGTGGGTGACGGGGACACCCACAGAAGAGGGCAGTGGCGATGGCATATTTGTTACATGGAGGGGGACTGGTCAGATGGGTAACTGTGTTATGAATAATGGACCAGGCACAGTGGCTCATGCCTGTAATTGCAGCACTTTGGGAGGCTGAGGCGGGTGGATTGAGACCAGTGGGGCCAACATGGTGAAATTCCATCTCTATTAAAAATACAAAAATTAGCTGGACGTCATAGCAGGTGCCTGTAACCCCAGCTACTTGGAGGCTGAGGCAGGAGAACTGCCTGAACCTGGGAGGTGAAGGTTGCAGTGAGCTGGAGATCACACCACTGCACTCCAGCCTCGGAGACAGAGTGAGAATCTGTCTCAAAAAAAAAAAAAAAAAAAAAAAAAAAGTCAGATTTCTCACTGTCCAAAGGGACTTTCAAACACAGGAAGAGGAAAGACCAGAGCATCCCAGAAGCAATGGATTCACACTGGAGGTACCAGTGTGAACAAAAGAAAGAGATAAAGGTATAGGTATGTACGTACACACACAAACACACACACACACACACAACACACACACACACTCTCTCTCTGCCCCCGCCCAATTCCTAAGCTCTATCTACTAAGAGGGACTGGGAACACTGACACCCTCATGGTGATGAGCATCCACAGTGCCCAAATCTTGGCTTCTAAATACCATTCTCTATTAAAAGGAGCCAGGGGTCCTTAGAGAAATAAGTAGTCCTAGGGCTAAAAGATGTAGTACAGTACAAGGTGAGCCTGGAACATCTGGTACCAGAGGAAGACCTCAAAGCAGCATCTATCCAAGGCCTGTCCAAAAGGATGGGAGACCACAAAGAGGCTCCCAATGGTCTCATCAGAAACCATCTGAACATCAAAAATGAATAGACCAGATGCAGTGACTCATACCTATAATCCCAGCACTTGTATGGGAGACCATGAAGAGGCTCCCAATGGTCACATCAGGGACCATCTGAACATCAAAAATTAATAGGCCAGATGCAGTGACTCATACCTGTAATCCCAGCACTTTGGAGGCCAAGGCAGGTGGATCACTTGAGGTCAGGAGTTCGAGACCAGCCTAGCCAACATGTGAAATCTGTCTCTATGACAATAATAAGGCAATAATAAACCCTGTCTCCACTAAAAATACAAAAAAATTAGCTGGGCATGGTGGTGGGTGCCTATAGTCCCAGCTACTGGAGAGGCTGAGGCAGGAGAATCGCTTGAACCTGGGAGGCAGAGACTGCGGTGAGCCACTGTCTTACCACTACACTCTAGCCTAGGCAACAGAGTAAGACTCCATCTCAAAATATAGTAACTTAGTAATGATAGCAACAGATTATAAACTTTTGAATAACACAGGAAATCAGCCCATACAAATATAAATAGTTCACATATAACACAAATATTTTAAGTAAATACATGAATACATTGAGAGTTTCATAAAGAATGTGCCATTTACATAGCTTCAAAATACCATCCCATAACATCCGCCAATTACAAAGGGGAGGACATCCTTGTTTGTTGGAAATGCACCCCAAGACAGGGCATCAGGATGGCAACTTATTCTCAGAGATCAAAGAAAAACATGTTCTTGGTACCACGCTTCCAACTTTTAAGTCTGTGATTCTTTCAAAAGCTCTAATTATAGCTGACTCTTTTCTGATCAAAATGAGTTCTCAGACTGACAGTGCAGCCTCTGACAACCACAGGCAGGGATGAGAACCCCTTCTCTGCAGCTTCGGGCACCACTAGGGAGCCAGCATGCCTGCCACAGCCAGGAGCACAGCTCTCTTCCTGAGGAGTGCCACCCCCTGTGACTCAGTTCCCACAACTATGAGTGAGAACTCACGGTTCCCCTCACAGGGTGAAACAGGCATTTATGCAGGCTTAGCAGTTCTCAGTGGAGATGAAATACTCAATAAACACAGCTGCAGTGTATTCAGAATAGGGAGAGGAACAGAGCCACCCCAGCCGACAGGGACACCAGGAGCTCCCTCTCCACAGGGCCCGGCTCCTGCTTCCCAGACGAGTCCCCAGTTCCACAGGTGTCCTTTGCCTCATCTAGCCCAGGGACACTGCCTGGAACCTCCCCTCCCGTAGCCACTCCTGGGTGGGGTGATGGGGATGGACAAAGGGTGGGGAAACTCCAGCACCAGCAATAATTTTCTTGCAGGTGCCAGTCCCACACCCTCTTCACTGAGGTGAACTGAAACACTGGACAGGTCACCAGTAACCCACAGGCACACTGGACGCATACAGGGTCAAAACACCGAAGAGCGCATCTCTAACGATGACAGAACGGTCACTGTTATGGGGTAGGGATGCATCCTGCTGCAGTCAGCACGTCTGCTGCACTGCGGTCGTGTCAGCAGGGAGGCGGGGCCCCCGCTGCCAGGAGCCAGCATGGTGGTGCAGGCGGTAAGGACTGAGGTCCCTTATTGATTATGAAACACCTGTAGTCAGCAGGGAAAATACCTTTTATACTGTTAAATGTTAAATCCTCTGACCAAGTAACCCCACCCCTGGTATTCTATCCTAAGGAAATACAGCTGCAGGAAAAGATTTCAGAACAAAGATCAACATGTGCACTGCCGTGTCATACCTGCAGCAACAGCGAGATGGCCTGAGGGACTGCATCAGGAAACTACAGTAGGTCATGGAATATCACAATTAGCAATGAAAAGTGCTTCCAAAAAATGACATGGGAAGTGCAGCAAATAAACCAGGTAGAAAATAGGAAACAGGGCTTGCTTCGGCAGCACATATACTAAAACTGGAGTGATACAGAGAAGATTAGCATGGCCCCTGCACAAGGATGACATGCAAATTCGTGAAACATTCCATATATTTTTTTTTTTTAAAAAAAAAAAAAAAAAAAGAAAGAAAGAAAATAGGAAACAGAGTATAAGCATTATGAATTCAACTGTCTGAAAAAAAAAAAAATCTAAGTGGCCAGGTGCAGTGGCTCACACCTAGAATCCCAGCACTCTGGGAGGCTGAGGCCAAAGGATCACTTGAGCCTTGGAGTTCAAGACCAGCCTGGGCAACATAGTGAGATCCCGACTCTACAAAAAATTAGCCATGCAAGGTGGCTCGAACCTGTAGTCCTAGCTACTTGGGAGGCTGAGGCGGGAGAAATGCTTGAGCCTGAGAGGTTGGGGCTGCAGTTAGCCATGACCACACCACTGCACTCCAGCCTGGATGACACAGCAAGACCCTATCAGTCAACCAATAAAACTATCACCATGGCCTGCCTGAAAACAATCTCTGTGGCTCTGCCTCTAAGAGTGAGTCAGGAGGAGGTTACTGCAGCCCCGTGTGGCCTGTGCAGGGCTAGGCATGAGCTCCCCGGGCAGGAAATCACACTGCCCACTGTCTCCCCAGACCTGCTCCTGCCCACAACACATGACAGACTGTGACTCCCTCGGGGCCAGTGCCTCTCGGTGTGGGCCTCTCACCATCCCCACAGCACGGCCCAAACCCACACCAACTACCAGGTCTTGTCCTCCATTAGACAAGCCGCCTCCACTCCACCACTGGAGAGAAACCAGCGGTGGAACGCACTGCAGGCACGTGGGGGCTCCGACAAGGCCCGTTCCACAGCCTGCTGCAGGTGCTGGGCTGTTCAGAGACCTCCAAGCCTCCTAATTCCAGCTGAGTACTCACCCCACATGCTACCTCTGAAGGCTGCCCTACATGGCAGCCAATCTACCCCACCCTAAACTGTCAACAGTGGTCATCTCTAGGTGAGGGCAGAAGTGACTTGAATGTGCTCTAGTAAGGAAACGTTGCTTGCATCAGGGGGAAAAAAGCCAATAAGTTTTGAATAAAGACTATCTGGTGAGCCTGGAGCCAGATTGGGGCAGTCAAAGCTACCAATGGAGAACTGGGAGCCAACGCACTGGAGGAGTCCCCTGCACAGGGCAGGCCTGCTGCATGGTCATAGTCACAACTCTGTCCTGGGGCACAGGTGGGCAGGTCTGGCTCCGCGACCCCTCCCCTGTGCAGACTCCAGCCTTGGCAGTGACCAGCCACCCCCACATTCTTCTGGACTATAGGCCTCAGAGGCCAGGCCAGCACCTGGAGGGCTCCTGAGGACCAGGCTTCCCCATCCACCTCTGCTCAGTTACATGGGCCACGACTAGGGCCCTCTGCGGGCAAAGGAGTGGGTAGGGGCCTTGTCTCCAGCAGGGTCCTCTCCCGCCGGCCCAAGACTCACCTGATGAGTGCACTCTCCTGCAGCAGCTCCCGGCTGAGGTTCAGGGGAATGTCCTCACTGTCCACCACACCTGGGAGACACAGTGATCAGGTTCTCCCAGGGCCACTGTCCCTCCACACCACCTAACATTCCCCCATTAACCTGCCCTTCATCTTCACAACCTGCCTTCAACCCAGCACGTGTGCTAAGCGGGAAGCAGGGAGGCAGCACCAGCGGAGCTTCCTCTATGTCCTGCCACCTCCCAGAACAGTGACCCGGGCCGTGTGCGTAGCTGGGCCAGCCTTAGGATACACTTGGAAAATGACAGACTGGGCTACACGTTAAAAATCTTAACTCTGGGATGGGTGCAGTGGCTCATGCCTGTAATCCCAGCACTTCGGGAGGCAGAGGCAGGCGGATCACGAGGTCAAGAGTTTGAGACCAGCCTGGCCAACATGGTGAAACCCTGTCTCTACTAAAAATACAAAAATTAGTTGGGCATGGTGGCGTGTGCCTGTAATCCCAGCTACTCGACAGGCTGAGGCTGGAGAATCTATTGAAACCAGAAGGCAGAGGTTGCAGTGAGCAGTGACAGCACCACTGCACTCCAGTCTGGGTGACAGAGCACAACACCGTCTCAAAAAAATAAAAAACTTTTAACTCTCAGGGGTGGCTTGCACTTCTGTGTACCAAGGCTTAAATACTGAAGTCTTTCTTCAACTATAATCTCACTCAAATGTAACACAACTCACATATATGTCTCAAACTCACACAATATCCCCATACCTGGAAAGACCTCAATCTGAACACCCTAGTGCTCCCTTCAAGATCAGCCACACGCACGGGGGCACAGGGCAGCTCCCAGGGTATGTAAACCCGGCTGGCATGCAGGCCCACAGCAGTGAGTGGCCACTGAAAACAGGATCAGCAAGGTGCCTCACAGATGCAGCAAGCGACACTGGGCCACACGGGCTCCGCTCATGGACTGGGGCTTTGGGCAGCATACCTCGGATGAAGCGCAGCCACTTGGGCAGAATGTCTGTGGCCTTGGTCTGGATGAGGACTTTGCGGCTGTACAGTGCGACGCTGGAGCCCAACTCCCGGCTCACATCAAACACGGATGGTTTCTGGGGGTGAGGAGGGGATGCCATCATGCAACACTGACTCCCCAGGCAGACCTTGGCTGAGAGGTGAGGGCGAACGCAACAAGTCCAGCACCTGTCCCCCTCCTCACCATACCCTCCCTCCCACGTGTGGTCTGAGCCAAAGCCCAGTGTCCAGGGGCCCCACAACGCTCCACACCGTGGCTCTGCGGGGGCCAAGGGTCTTCTCTGGCAGCTGTTGCTCTCCCCAGCCCACCCACTAAGGAGGACACAACAAAGTGAGCCTTGCACATACCCCTGAACACAGCCAAACCCTGCTACAGGTCAGAGGTCAGCAAAGAGCCCACTGGCCAAATCTGGCTCACTGCCTACTTCTGTGTAGCCTGAGAGTAGTTTTTACACTTTCAAATGGTTGAGAAAAGATTTCGAAAAGAAGTATCTCATGACATGTGAAAGAGATGAAATTCAAGTTTCAGTATCTACGCAGCTCACAGACCCAGCCCTGTGGAGGGCAGGGGGCGGGCAGCATGGGTGGTGCTGTTTCCTCACCCTGGAGGCCACGCATGAAAAGCCGGGGCCAGCTCCCGTCTGGGCCTCATGGAACATGGCTGCCAACACCTGCTCCACATTGGCAATTCCTGACTCGGGCCTTGCACCTCATCATGGGGGATCTGATTAAAATGCAGAGGGATCTAGTTAAAATGTGGGGAGACCTGGTTAAATTGTGAGGCGATCTGGTTAAAATGTGGGGGGATCCATTAAAAATGCTGGAGGATCCATTTAAAATGCAGGGAGATCTTGTTAAAATGTGGGCTCCTACTCGGGAGCCCTGAGTGGGGCCTGAGACTCTAACAAGCCCCAGGAGACCACACCTGGGGTGGCTCTTTCTAAGACAGACACTAACTTTGCAGGACATGACGGAGAGTTCCAGGCAGACAAGGACAGGAAAGCCTGGGGGCGGGACAGGCTGGCTCTCAGTCCCAAATAGGTCTCCACACTGTGGAAGCTTCAGTGTGGTCAAGGGAACCGGGAGAGTCGGAGGGGACTTGCAGAAGCACAGACCAGCCAGCGCAGCAGCAGACCATAGGCCCTTCCCAGAGCACCAGGCGGAACAGCATCCATGCCAGTGAAGCGAGGCTCTGAGGGCCCCTCCCCAGGCACACCCCAGTCCACGAGCCCACACCCAGGCCTGCACTAAGACATCCATCAATCCTTCCCTCGCCATGTGTGTCCCTTGTGAGAAAACCTCTGCATTCACCCACCAAGAGGCATCAATTCTTTTGTTCTTTTTTCAGAGTTGTAGTCTCACTATGTTGGCCAGGCCGGGCCAGAACTCCCGGACTCAAGTGATCCACCCTCCTCGGCCTCCCAAAGTGCTGGGATGACAGGATTGAGCCACCGTGACTGGCACTACCTATGTTTCTTGTGCCATCATGCTGCCATGTTAATCATGTGACATCTGCAGAGCTGAAAGCCCTGTGGCCATGGGGGACACCCTGTCCCCAGGGGGACAACAGAGTCACCCTGAGGGCCGTGAGCCTACTGCAGCACCTCACCGTGTCCGGCACGTAGAAGATGCTGCGGATGTTGAGCGGCGCGTCCGTCTTATAGTGCAGGGTGTAGCGGGGCCTGTCGTAAGCCTGTGCAATGTAACGGTAGAACTCCTCATGCTGCCACTCACCGATGTCCTTGGGGTCCATCATCCAGATGGCCTGGAAACAGAGATGGATGGGGGAGGGTGTCATGTTTACCACATGCGTCTTCCTAACCACGACGCTGCCCTAAGCTAGTGCAGCATCTGTCCCTGGACAGGCTCCCAGGACAGACGGGTGATGGTCTCAGGTGTAGAACCCTCTCCAGCCCCACTGCTGGGCTGTGCAGGGAAGACACACAGGGTTCTGGGGCAGGAGATCCCCGGAGAGTAAGTCAGGAGGAACAGCAGGCCCTGAGGTGGCCTGTGGGACAGGACGACACTGCCCAGCAGGGGCGGGCTGACCAATAAAGTGTGGGCCATGAGAGAGAGCACGAGCCACGCTGCACCACGGCTGAGCCTCGAGGGGGGAAGCTGGTCACTGAGGACAGCATGTCACATGACTCCAACGAGGAAAAATGTCCAGAACAGGTGGCACAACGGAGAGAAAGGAGACCGTGGCTGCTGGGGCTGGCGGAGGGGTGGCGGGGACAGGGCTGCTTTTTGGGGTGATGGATGTTCTGGAATTGATGCAGGGTAGTTGCACAGCTCTGTGGCTGCAGCGAACACCACTGGCTACACACTCACGGGGTGACCCAGCTGGATGGGCATACGCCTCAGTGAACCCGGGTCCCTGACCCCAGCTGCCCAGTGCACAGGGGCAGGGCTGTGGTTGGGGCTGGGCCTCTGCCTCATCCCCACACCCAGGTCTCATCTCCACAGAACATCTCGCCCTGTGACTCTGGGCACATCCCCCGGACTCATCTCTGCCCCCAGCCCTGAAATGTACAGATTCATCGCCATGTGGAGGAGCTTGGGGATCACCTGCAAGGTGTTCAGTCGCCTTCCGTTCAGGTACAAGGGGAAGCTGACGAAGTTGCTATACTTCGTCACCACATCTGGAAGGAACAAAAAAAAAAAACCACACTGCATCTACAATGTTTCTGGAAACGCAAGCTTTGCAGCAGCTCCAAGGTAAGTGCCAGCCTGCTGGGAAAGGTCCTCCATGCTGTGCTCACTTCACAAGTAAAGAAATGGGGCACAGCAGGGACATCTGTCCTCCAACCAGTCTCACAGGGGCAGCAGTGGAGCCTGAGTGAGAACCACATCTATGGACAACCTGGCTGCTGTGAGACCATGATGCTGGCTCATGGCTGGAACGTGGCTTTCTGGGCTGACTCCTCAGGGTACTGAGGGCTTCCCCAAGCATCCAGCAGGACATGGACAGGGAAGGCCACCCTCAGACAGGATTGCGCCAACCCCCCAGGTGCACTAACGGCCAAGGGCCATGCAGAGGGAGAAAGGAGAACGAGCCCTGCCTCCACCAGGCCGGCTTCCTTCCAGTCCCACCACATAGAACCTGCAGGAGCTCAGGGCAGCGCAGCCCCAGCAGGCAGCCCCGCCCAGTCCCACAGTGGCATGGCCCTTTGCAGCTCTGCCCAAGTGCCCCTTGTGCAGGCAGAACCCAGGAAAATGCCTGCTGCCCCGGTGGCCTCCAGGCCACACATGGATCCCAGAGAGAGCCTGGGCCTGGGCTCCTGCTCACCTCGCACCCGGGCCTCACTGGCAAACTCCCTGCAGTCAGATTTCAGGTGGATGATGATTTTCGTCCCAGTTCTAACTCCCGAAGCTTCCGCGATTTCAAACACTCCAGAGCTAAGGAAAGGAAGAGCCAGCTGGACGAAACACTGGGACGCCTCCCAAATGGGACTGCCTATGAAACTCCTATGGTTTCATAGGCAGAGCCCCAAACAACACAGAGCACACCCTCAAGTGCCCCATTTCTGACCCGAGGACACCACTCAGGCCATCGAATGCCCATCAAGAACAATGACCCTGTGCCAGGCAGCACGGAGCTCTCCTCATTCTCTTGGGTGGGGGTGGGGGGGAGAGTCCTCCACCGACCCTGGGCTTAGAAGCTCCTGGGCTTATCCCAAAAGCGGGCCTGGGGCACTATGGGGACCTGGCCCAGCTCCAAATCGGTGCCAGATGCCCAGGGGCAGAAACAAAGGTGGGGATGGGGGGGAAACGCCCCCTTAGAAGAGCAGAAAACCATCTCAGAAGCACAGGAGGGGGAAATCCCCGATGGGGCTGTGTTGATACCTTGGCCTGAGTTTACTCTGAGCCCTGCGCTCATGGAATTAAACAGGAATGTTAGTTTTGGGAGACGGGGGAGTGAAGATGGGCATACTGTGCACACCGTGGAAGCAGCTCACCCACTAAAAAGCCCCAAGCAGGCTCTGCACCCAACAGAGATGGAGGTGGGCTAGGCAGGCAAAGTGGGGAAATGCCAGGGCCAGGAGGAAGCACAAGGAGCTCCCATAGAAGGTCAGTCACAGGAGGCTGTGGAGGGTCCCCCGGGTGGGAGGCCAGTTCTGCAGCCCAGCCACTGAGGAGAGAGCTCAGTGAGGGACGGGCCTGCCTTCCCGAGCGGAGTGGTCACCAACCACAAGGGACCACACAGGTGCCATAGGCCACTTGGAGCCACAAAAGTCACTGTCTCCTCAAAGCCAGAGAGTCAGATTTCACATAAAAAGCCCAGAAAATGCCTGTGTGGGTTTTCTGAATCCAACCCTTTCCAAACTCCATGGTAAGGGCTCCAGCTCAGCCTTGAGCTGCCTGTCAGGTGATGTTCGTCACTCACCCGTTGGAAAGCCACTGGTAACCAGGGCTCCCCAGGGATGCCGAGCGGGAATAGACCTCCACTCTGTCGGCCACCATGAAGGCCGAGTAGAAACCCACTCCAAACTGGCCGATGATCTTGCTGCTGGCCTCAGCCTGGTTCTGCAGAGCATCCAGGAAGGCCTGTGGGGCAGAGGCTGGTTAGGGAGGCAGCCTCCCTTCCAGTGAGCAGACACTTGCAACACTGCGGCTGTTCTGCTAGTGCAGCTACGAACCCTTCATCCTTAAAACAGCCACACCAAGTACTTTTCCAACCCATTCTAGACATGAAAAGCTAAGTCACAGACAGGTGACACACTGGCCCTAGGACACCCAGTTGGCAGCAGTGGGACAAGTGTGTATCCCATTTGATTCCCAGAGCCTGCAGTCCTGCCTGTCCCGGACAGGTGGAGGCCTGCAGGTCACACCTGGGGGTGGAGAAAGAGCAGATTGAATAAGCTTTCCCTGAATAAGCTCCTTCCACAGGAAAGCCAGGAGTGAGGAGAAGCTCCAAACTGGTTTCTAGATTCAAGTCTGTTGGAGTCTATTCTTTGTGGGAAGGGTGGAAATCACACACATGCATACCGCACGGCCCTTAATTATTCTACTATAATATTGCCAAAGTTCCTAAGTCCAAAATCAGGTAAAATGCACCACCCAATGCCCTGACCCACGCTGCTGATGGAACTTTTTCCGACGTTGGGAACACTCTGCATCTGCCAGGTGCAACGTCACAGCCTGCTGAGCACCGGGAATGTGGCCCGTGCAGTTGAGGAGCTCAATGTCCCCTTTTATTTAATTGTAATGCATTTACATTTAAGCTGCTACACGCAGCTGGTGGCCACTCATGGAACAGCAGAACAACCTTGAGAGAAATACAACAAAAAACATAATGTGGGTGGAAAGTCACCGTTACGGTAGGTTTTTTTTTTTTTTTTTTTTTTTGAGATGGAGTCTCGCTCTGTCACCCAGGCTAGAACGCAGTGGTACAATCTCAGCTCACGGCAACCTCCACCTCCCGGGTTCAAGCAATTCTCCTGCCTCAGCCTCCCAAGGAGGTGGGACTACAGGCACCTGCCACCATGCCCAGCTGATTTTTGTATTTTTGGTAGAGATGGGGTTTCACCATATTGGTCAGGCTGGTCTCAAACTCCTGACCTCAGATGATCCACCTACCTTGGCCTCCCAAAGTGCTGGGTTACAGGTGTGAGCCACCGTAACCAGCCCGGTAGTTTTTTTAAAGTAGAAATTTCTGGCTGGATGTGATGGCTCATGCCTGTAATCATAGCACTCTGGGAAGCTGAGGCAGGACGACTGCTTGAGCCCAGGAGTTTGAGACCGGCCTGGGCAACAAAGTAAGACCCTGGTCTCCACAAAAACATACAAAATTAGCTGGGTGTAATGTCACATGCTTGTAGTTACAGCTACTCAGGAGAACTGAGGAGGATCGCTTGAGCCTAGGAGTTCAGGAGGGAGGATCGCTTGAGCCTAGGAGTTCAAGATTGCAGTGAGCTGTGACTGCAATCCAGACTGGGCAAAAGAGTAAGACCCTGTCTCTGAATGAATGAACAAATCAATGAATAAATGAATGCAGAAATTTCTGTGAATTACTTTGGAACAACAACTGCTCTGTTTTGAAGCACGTGGTACCAAGTGCCACATGGGTGCCACTCAAGCTAACAACAACGAGGAAGAAAAGCACTCGGTCAGCAAGGAGGGCACCAGGGTGATCCAGGGCCACCTGCCTTTGTCCCAGTTTGGCACAGACCCTGCTGAGGAAACCCTGACCACCCACACCTGTCTTCCCCTTGCAGGCTGCAGTCACACCAGCAGCCAAATGACACCCTAGCCCTAAGGGCTGACTTGTCCCCACAAAGCAGTTATTCTTTTCTTTTCTTTTTGTCATAAGTCAAGATCTTGCTCTGTCACCCAGGCTGGAGGGCAGGGGTGCAATCACAGCTCACTGTATCCTTGAACTTCCGGGCCCAGGCGATCCTCCTGCCTCAGCCGCCTGAGTAGCAGTGACCGCAGGCGCACGTCACCACACCCAGACCCCCAGAGCAGTTCTGACCAGAACCATCAAATCCACAGATGTCGCGGCCCAAGCCTGTTCTCACACATGGCACTGTCTGTGAGTGATCCCTCTGACCCTCTCTGCATCAAGCCCACACAGCTAAGGGAATCGACTTTGCAGAAAAGTGTCATGAGGCAGAACGACATGTGTGGATTCAGACCAATAGTCCGGGAACCTCTGGCTCGCCCTGTTCCAGCTATGGGCACAGCAATTATTTCACTTTCCGCATCACTAAAATGAAAACACTAACATAAACTGGCCCATGGGGCCCTGTGCCGGTGAAATGAAACAGTCGGTCCTCTTATCTATGGGTTCCACATCTGCAGATTCAACCAGCCAAGGACTGAAAATGCTCAGAAAAAAATAAAATACAACACAATGGTAAAAAAATAAAAACTGCCGGGCACAGTGGCTCAAGCCTGTAATCCCAGCACTTTGGGAGGCCGAGGCGGGTGGATCACGAGCTCAAGAGATCGAGACCATCCTGGTCAACACGGTGAAACCCCGTCTCTACTAAAAATACAAAAAAATTAGCTGGGCATGGTGGCGCGTGTCTGTAATCCCAGCGACTCAGGAGGCTGGGGCAGGAGAATTGCCTGAACCCGGGAGGCGGAGGTTGCCGTGAGCCGAGATCGCGCCATTGCACTCCAGCCTGGGTAACAAGAGCGAAACTCCGTCCCAAAAAAAAAATAAATAAATAAAAATAAAAACTACGTTATACTATATACACAGCATTTACATTCTATCAGGTATTATAAGTAATCTAGAGATTATTTAAAGCATACAGGAAGATGTGTCTACAAAATATGGGACCACTTTAATCCAGGACTGCAGCATCTGCAGACTTTGGTATCCAAGGGGGCATCCTGGAACCACCCCAGATACTGAGGGACGGCTGCCATGTCATGAGGTGTTCCCACAGTGCCCACCACATGGCATGCACCTGACATTCTTACTTCATCGGGTACCCAAGAATGCCTACTAGAGGCATCCTTGCACCCTGAGGGGAAGGGGGAGGCTGTGTGGGGAGTCCGTGCTTACCTTTGACCCCGATCTGGCGATCGTCCCCAGGTTGGACACCAGCTCTTCCTGTGTCATCCCGATGCCAGTATCCTGAGGAGAGAGACACTGTAAGAAGCGCCAAGCCCCCAGCACCTGGGAAGGGGGGGTAAGTGCACCGGCAGCCCCAGAGGCTCAAATGCTGTCACTGACATTGGCAAGACAGGGCCCAGCTAGGTAGCACCAGATGCTCATCAGAAAAGACTAATTCTAGGGGCAGGGCATAGTGTCTCACACCTGTAATCCCAGCATTTTAGGAGGCGGCAGAGGGCAGACCACAAGGTCAAGAGTCGAGACCATCCTGGCCAACATGGTGAAACCCCGTCTCTACTAAAAATACAAACATTAGCTGGGTATAGCGGCAGGTGCCTATAATCCCAGCTACTCGGGAGGCTGAGGCAGGAGAATCGCTTGAACCTGGGAGATGGAGGTTGCAGTAAGCTGAGATGGCGCCACTGCACTCCAGCCTGGGTGACAAAGCAAGACTCTGTCTCAAAAAAAAAAAAACAAAACCCCACCATCCTGAAAAGAAAATCTAACACCAGCAATTAGGGGGAAAAGCACAGCTCTTCAGTCATGGAGATGTGGCCCCCACGCCTTTTCCTTGGCTGTGGTTCTGTGGAACACCAGCCCCTTCCTCTGGTGGCTCTATCAATCCAGCAGAACAATCCAATTGAGGAGCCCAAGAAGCAGGTGTAGAGGGCACAGTTCTGAGGGCGGCCCCCATACCCACCCTACCACCATGAGAAGAGTGGGCAGGAACACCTCTCCTGGGTCAGACGCAGCCTTCATGTGGGAGCCTCGATCAGGCCTGTCCTGTTGCAGCTGCTCTGGTCTGAGAGCTGGTGTCATCCAAGTCTGTATGTTGAGACCTAACTCCCAAGGTGATGGCACTAGGAGTGGGGCCTTTGGGAGGTTATCAAGTCAAGAGGGCTCCACTCTCATGAATGGGAGTAGGGCCCTTAGAAAACAGGCCTGAGGGAGCTTGTCTGCCCCTTCCACCTTCTATGTGAAGATGTAAGAGGTACTGCCTGAGACAAAGGGCCCTTACCAGGTGCCCAATCTGCTGGCCCCTTCCTCTTGGACCTCCCAGCCTCCAGAACTGTGAGCAACGTGGTTCTGTTGTTTATAAACTGCCCTAAGGTATTCTGGTATGCCCTAAGGTCTAAGGCATTCTGCTATAGCGGCCTGAATCACAACACAGACCAAAGCACCGTGGAACACACAGGGCCTTACTGACCACAGCTGCCTCCTTCCTCTGCCCGGTCAGACTCCCATCTGGAGTTCCTCACTCAACATTCCCATAACAAAGTGGCAGCCCCAGCTTGCTCTGCTATAATATGCAAACCACTTAAATAAAAGAGCTTGCTCCAAGCCTCCACCACCTATGAATTGGGACAAAGGCCCTCAGAAGCAGTTTTCTGCTTCCTTCTAGGAAGTTCCTTTATAGGGCTTCCTCTCCAGGACAGTCCGAAGGGGCCGTGGGAGCCCGCTAGCACGGAGCAGCACTGCTGTCTCCATCCGTGCAGCAGGGCCGGTCAATGCCACTCAGCAAAGGATCCACAGATTCATTGCCAGACAAGGGCCTCTTATCACCACCTGACAGCAAGCAGCAGGCCGGGGAGACTGGCCAGCCGTTGGCCTCCACACTGTAGGCAGTGCAGGCAGAATGGGTGCCAAAACCATGTCACCACCAGTTACTGGGGTGTGCACATGTGTATGTGTTCTATGGACCCCAGTAGTCAACAAGAAACATGACACCAAGAGGCTTCTGGGGAATTATTTCTGAGGTGCCGGTATGAAGACTCCAAAGTTCATATATTGTAGATCATGTGGTAATTATGAATAAAAAGCTACTTAAAGTTAATATCCAGTTGTTATCAGTCATTAAATATAATTTTCATTGAAATGTTTACTTCAGTGCATCAGGAACTCAGAGTCCTTAAAGGAAAGGTTAATGTTAGACCAAGGTAAAGGAGAAAATCCAGGCCGGACGCGGTGGCTCAAGCCTATAATCCCAGCACTTTGGGAGGCCGAGGCGGGTGGATCACGAGGTCAAGAGATCGAGACCATCCTGGTCAACATGGTGAAACCCCGTCTCTACTAAAAATACAAAAAATTAGCTGGGCATGGTGGTGTGTGCCTGTAATCCCAGCTACTCAGGAGGCTGAGGCAGGAGAATTGCCTGAACCCAGGAGGCGGAGGTTGCGGTGAGCCGAGATCGCGCCATTGCACTCCAGCCTGGGTAACATGAGTGAAACTCCGTCTCAAAAAAAAAAAAAAAAAAAAAGAGAAAATCCAACTAATTGCTCCTATTTTCAATTAATTTTCATTTGTTTCCCAAACTGATTTGCATTGCAATCCCAACCCAAATCCTCACAGGTTTGGTAGAAAAGGAAAGGCTGATTCTAAAATTTATACATAAATACAAAGAACCTAGAACAGTTTCAAAATATTTTGAAGAACAAAGTTAGAGAATTTAAAATACCTAATTTTGTTTTTTTTGGAGGCAGAGTCTCACACTGTCACCCAGGCTAGAGTGCAGTGGCACAATCTCGGCTCACCACAACCTCCGCCTCTCGGGTTCAAGTGGTTCTCCCACCTCAGCCTCCTGAGTAGCTGAGATTACAGGTGCCTGGCTAATTTTCTGTATTTTTAGTAGAGACATGGTTTCACTATGGTGGTCAGGATGGTCTCAAACTCCTGACCTTGTGATTCACCCACCTCGGCCTCCCATAGTGCTGGGATTACAGGTGTGAGCCACCATGCTCGGCCTTAAAATGCTTAATTTTAAAACTTCCTACAAAGCTACAAAAATTAAGACCGTGTAATGTGGGCATTTAAGGATCAACGCATAGATCAAAGAAACCAAACTGAGCACAGAAACAGAGCTGCACTGACAGTATATTACTTAACATGTGACAAAGATTCCAAGGTATCAATGGGGACGATAGGTCTATCAACAGACAGTAATGAAACAACTGGACAGCCATATGTAAAACATAAACCTCAACCCCTACCTCACACCATACACCAAAATTAACTTGAAATGGATCATAGATCTAAATGTAAGAGCTAAAGCTATAAAACCGCTAAAAGAAAACACAAGGCTGGGCACAAGAGTGCCCATCTGTAATCCCAGCACTTTGGAAGGTCAAGGTGGGAGAATCACTTGAGTCCAGGAGTTTGGGACCAGCCTGGCCCACAAAGCAAGACCCTGTCTCTATACACAAAAAAAATTGTTTTAAGGTAGTCAGGCACGGTGGCATGTGCCTGTGGCCCAAGCTATAGGAGGCTGAGGTGGCAGATCACTTGAGCCCAGGAGGTCAAGGCTGCAACAAGCTCTGATAGCACCACTGTGCTCCAACCTGGGAGACAAAGGAAGACCCTGACTCTAAACATAAAAACCTTCCAGGTCATCAAAAACAAGGAAAGTCTGGGCCGGGCAGGGTGGCTCAAGCCTATAATCCCAGCACTCTGGGAGGCAGAGGCGAGTGGATCACCTGAGGTCGGGAGTTCAAGACCATCCTAACCAATACGGTGAAACCCTGTCTTAAAAAAAAAAAACAAGCCGGGCGCGGTGGCTCAAGCCTGTAATCCTAGCACTTTGGGAGGCCGAGGCGGGTGGATCACGAGGTCAAGAGATCGAGACCATCCTGGTCAACACGGTGAAACCCCGTTTCTACTAAAACTACAAAAAATTAGCTGGGCATGGTGGCGCGTGCCTGTAATCCCAGCTACTCAGGAGGCTGAGGCAGGAGAATTGCCTGAACCCAGGAAGCAGACGTTGCGGTGAGCCGAGATCGCGCCATTGCACTCCAGCCTGGGTAACAAGAGTGAAACTCCGTCTCAAAAAAAAAAAAAAAAAGAAAAAAAACAAAGTCTGAGAAACTGTCACAGCCAACAGGAGCCTAAGGGAACAGAACAACTAAATGTCATGTGAGATCCTAGAAGAGAAAAAGGACATGAGGTAAAATGTAAGGAAATCTGAATAGAGTTGGATTAAGAATAATATATCCACACTGGTTGATTAACTGTAACCAATGTAACATACTAACATAAGATTTCAATCATAAGGGAAGCTGGGTGTGGAGTAAATGGCAATGCTGTACTCTCTTTAAAATTTTTCTGAAAATTTAAATCTGTTCTAAAATATTTACAAAAAAAAAAAACTATAGATTTTTCAGATGTAGACAGAAATCATCTATTGCCAGGTGACCCGCATAAGGTGATTTTAAAAGGAATTGGTGAGACCAGGCGTGGTGGCTCACGCCTGTATTCCCACCACTTTGGGAGGACAAGGTGGGGGGATCATCTGAGATCAGGAGTTCGAGACCAGCCTGGGCAAAATGGTGAAACCCCATCTCTACAAAAAATACAAAAATTAGCCAGGTGTGATGGCATATTCCTGTAATGCCAGCTATTCAGGAGGCTGAGGCAGGAATCGCTTAAACCCACGAGGCAGAGGCTACAGTGAGGTAAGATCACACCACTGCACTCCAGCCTGAGCAATAAAGTGAGACTCTGCCTCAAAAAAATAAAAATAAAAAAGGAATTCATGAGGGTTTACAACAGATGTATACATAATATATTTGACATCAAAAGAAAAAGATGATTTTGCCATTGAAATGCTACTGCGGTAAGATTCTTACACTGAAGTGTTAAATATTAATTCAGGCTAGACAGTGATAAATTAAGGCTGCATATTTTATTCCCTAAAAAAATCCCCTAAAAATAGCAAAAAGCAATGTAGCTGAGATATCAGTAGGAGAAACGGAATGGTATAATATCTCTGAGACTCCACAAGAACCCCTTCTTTTCTAAAATGTTATGTAAGAATAATGTATCAATATTAGTTCATTAATTGTAATAAATGGGCCAAGCGTGGTGGCTAATGCCTGTAATCTAACACTTGGGAGGCAGAAGCAGGAGGATCACTTGAGGCCAGGAATTCAAGCCCAGCCTGGCCAATGTGGTGAAACCCCATCTCTACTAAAAATACAAAAATTATCTGGGCATAGTGGCACATGTCTGTAATCTCAGCTACTCAGGAGGCTGAGGCATGAGAACTGCTTGAACCTGAGAGGAGGAGGTTGCAGTGAGCTGAGATCATACCATTGCACTCCAGCCTGGGCGACACATCAAGACTCTGTCTCACAAAAAAAAAAAAAAAAAAAAGAAAGAAAGAAAGAAAGAAATGGACCATGCTCATGTCAGATGTTGAGAACAGAAAAACTGGGTACCAGGCCAGGCGCGATGGCTCAAGCCTATAATCCCAGCACTTTGGGAGGCCGAAGCGGGTGGATCACGAGGTCAAGAGATCGAGACCATCCTGGTTAACATGGTGAAACCCCGTCTCTACTAAAAAAAAAAAAATACAAAAAAAAAAAACATTAGCTGGGCATGGTGGCGTGTGCCTGTAATCCCAGCTACTGAGGAGGTTGAGGCAGGAGAATTGCCTGAACCCAGGAGGCGGATGTTGCGGTGAGCCGAGATTGCGCCATTGCACTCCAGCCTGGGTAACAAGAGTGAAACTCCGTCTCAAAAAAAAAAAAAAAGAAAAACTGGGTACCAAAGGATATAATGGAACTCTGAATTATCTGCTCAAATTTTCTGTAAATCTAGAACTGTTCTTTAAGAAAAAAGAAGACAAAAGACAAAAACAAAAAACCATTCTTATAACATAAACAGTCTTCGTACCAGGAAGTACTGGCACATGAGCACAGGTCCCTCTGCTCAGGACCACACATCATGTCCCCATGACCCCTTGTCCCAGCCCATCCATTTTCTATCATCTCCAAGGAACCTTTGTGCTGCAAACGGGAGGGATGTGCAGGGTGCCCCAGCAGCAAATCCAGCTCTGTGCCCCAGCCCAGCTCACAGGGCCCATTCTGCAGCCAGGCCAGATCAGGAAAAACAGGGAGAAAAGAAACTCACTCCTCACCCAATCTTTACAAACAACTGGCACGTACCAAAGGGCTCAGTCTGGATTCTCTAAACCCAAGAGGGAGTATAAAGCTGACACCTTACAAAAGCCCTTCCTTTAACGAAAACAGCCGTCCCTTAAGTTCATTCATTCATGAATACCTTCATTCATTCATCTGGCATGGCCTTGAGAGCAAGTCAGCACCCTAAAAGGAAATACTCAGATCCCACTGAGGCCTGTCTGTCCACCTCTCCACAGAGACACACACCCCCGCAATGATGCCATGACCCCAGCGCCACAGGTCCTGAGGCAGCTGTCTCGGAACACAATGTCTCTCAGGGCCTCTCCCTGACCCTCTTTGGCCTTTCTAACTTTTCAGGCTTAAAATTTCCACTAGGCTACAGCAGAAGCCACAAGCATTGCTTCGTCTGCATTTTCAGGGTGAGGGAACACAGTTAAAAACATGAAAAGAGTACATTAAAAATAAGATATGTTTAGATATGTTAATAACTTCATACACCAAAACCCTATGTAGTCATATGCTAAAATGTTACCAGTAGTTATCTCTGGATGATGGGAGGATTTCAAATTTTCTTCACACCTGCTTTTCCAAAACATTCTATAATGAATAAGTGCTACTGTAACAATAAATCACAGCAAGAGTTATCTTGGGGGTACAGACGGCCAGCATGTCCCTAGGACCCCAGAGACATCGCTCCAAGGCAGGTGCTGTCCCTGCTGTGTGGCCAGGCCTGTCCCATGCCTGGACACTGAGGGAAGGTACCTGGATAGTGATGGTGCCTTTGTCGGCATCGGTCTGCAAGTGAATCTCCATTTCCGGCAGTGCTTGGCCGTCAGACACCAGTTTGTGACGCAGTTTTTCCAAGGCATCGCTGGCATTGGAGATCAGCTCCCGTATAAACACCTATGGGAATAGAAATGGGAGGCACAGATGATGAAGGACACTCACCCTGCAGTACCTATCTAGTCAGCTGCACTTCCAACAACTGTTAAAGGGCGGAGAAGAATCGCCGCAGAACAATCAGTTCTCAAAGCATAAAGAGTTTCTGCTTTAGTCAAAGGCAGTTCCTCTGGGCAAGTCACAAAGTGACTAAAGGTGTTGACTTCTACAGATCTTTCCTTTCAGGATTTGTTTGAGACAGGGTCTCGCTCTGTCACCCAGATTGGAGTGCAGTGGTGCAATCACAGCTCACTGCAGCCTCAACCTCCTGGGCCCAAGCAATCCTCCTACCTTAGCCTCCTAAGTAGCTGGGAGAACAGGCATGCACTACCACATCCAGCTAACGGTTTTGAAATTTTTATGGACAGTGTCTCGCTATGTTGCCGAGGCTGGTCCTGATCTCCTGGGCTCAAGTAATCCTTGTGACTGGCCTCTCAAAGTGTTGGGATTACAGGCATGAGCTACCATACCTGGCCATTTCCAGGATTTTCAATCAAACCTGAAGTTATGTGCCCAAATGTTAATTAAAACTTTAAGAAGAGCCCTCTAGCCGGGTGCGGTGGCTCACACCTGTAATCCCAGCACTTTGAGAGGCTGACGCGGGCAGATCACTTGAAGTCAGGAGCTCAAGGCCAGCCTGGCCAACATGGGGAAACCCCATCTCTACTAAAAATGAAAAAACTACCTGGATGTGGTGGCACACGCCTGTAATCGCAGCTACTCAGGAGGCTGAGGCACGAGAATTGTTTGAACTTGGGAGGTGGAGGTTGTAGGAAGCCGAGATCGCACCACTACACTCCAGCCTGGGCAACAAGAGCAAGACTCTGTCTCAAGAAAACAAACCAAAGAGCCCTATGGGGAACACTTTCTTTCCCAACTCCTACACAGGGATGAGGGCATATCACTCCGACATCCATTTCTCCTTGATAAGGTTTGGCTGTGTCCCCATCCAAATCTCATCTTGAATTGTATTCCCATAAGCCCACATGTTGTGGGAAGGACCGGTGGGAGATAACTGAATCACGGGGGTGTTTCCCCAATACTGTTCTCATGGTAGTGAATATGTCTCATGATATCTGACAGTTTTATTTGGGGTTTTCGCTTTTGCTTCTTGCTTATTCTCTCTGCCTGCTGCCATCCATGTAAGACGGGACTTGCTCCTCCTTGCCTGCCGCCATGATTGTGAGACTTCCCCAGATACATGGAACTGTGAATCCAATTAAAACTCCTTCTTTCAGAAACTGCTCAGTCTCACTTCTTTTTTTTTTTTTGAGACGGAGTTTCACTCATGTTACCCAGGCTGGAGTGCAATGGCGCGATCTCGGCTCACCGCAACCTCCGCCTCCTGGGTTCAGGCAATTCTCCTGCCTCAGCCTCCTGAGTAGCTGGGATTACAGGCACGCACCACCATGCCCAGCTCATTTTTTGTATTTTTAGTAGAGACGGGGTTTCACCATGTTGACCAGGATGGTCTCGATCTCTTGACCTCGTGATCCACCCGCCTCGGCCTCCC